ATCACTCACTATGTGGCAACTGGCGCCACTATCTCATATAGTGAGAGAATTCTTGTGAGATTTCACAAAACAGACTGACACATTGATAATCTCTGTGAGATTTGTTATCTGATAGGTGTCTGATTTATCTGTAATGAATAGTTGAGTTCTATCTTCACTATTGTTCTTTTTCTTCTTTTCCTTGAATTTCTTTATTCTCACAGTATTGTTTATTCTTCAATTATTCAGAGCACTGTCTGAATTAGTCAATCAACAGATATCAAAGTGAGATCTCTCATAATCAGAATATGTAGATGAATTTCTCAATTCTCAATGATTTCAGAAGCTCTCTTATATACTGTTATAATCACATTCAGTACAGTCTTCACAGGCTGAATTCAATATATTATTGTTTGAATTGATAGATGTAGTGATCATTATATCTATTATAGCTATTATAGCTATGTTGACTGCAGAATCTATATTCTGCAAATTCTTTTTATCTTTTGAAGAATTAAGCTGCAAACAGATCTTCTTCATGAGAAGATTAACATTCAATATCACAGCTGTGAATTTGAAATTCTGTATCTTCTCTATCTTCTTCTGAACATAATTTCTTCAATTGTTGAGTAGAACTGAGTAGAAGGTATCAAATATTCATGCATCTGAGAGGAAAGTATTCAACATCTTCAATTTTGTAATGACAGACTGAAACTTATCAAAGAATGTGTGTAGATTGATGATCTGTGTGTTATCAAGAGACATGAATTTCAGAACTGTCTCACAGTGTAACTGTGTTTTGAGAACAGAGTATTTCTATTCAATCACATTTCATAGAGTATAGATAATTCAATTTTCATCATACTTGAAGAAATGTGATCTGACATCTGCACTCAAGAAGTTTGAAATGAATGTGTAGAGTCACTGATTTCTGACATCTCAGAATGATGCTTATTCATCATCTCTTTATAGAGGGTTCTGAGTCTATTGTTTCTCTATTATATATCAACACTGTGCATTAATCAGTTTCAATTTCATGAAGATGCTTCATGTGATGTAATTGAATGTATCAGTCAGACTATTTAATCTCATAGTATTCTTAACATCTTTCTTGAATTAAGAGATTGTCTTGTCAACATGACTATTCAGTTTATAAAGATTGAATTTCAATCTTTCATCAAGATTAGAATTCCATGTAACTGTTGATGTGATAGCAGAATAATTATTAACATTCTGAGATTAATCTGTAGAGAATCTCTGTTGACAGAGTTTTTTCAGTTGTAGTTTGAGTTCTAAGACTCTTTGCTTTTTCTTATTCATCTCAAGTATTATCTTGAGATGTTTCATCTGTTGATCTGATATTGTCTCATCTGAACTGTTGAATTCATGAGAATCAGCTTTATCAAGCTATCAAGTAGATCAGAGAGCTGGTCTGACTGTGTCAGAAGCTGTATTCAAACCAGCTTTGAATCAAGAGAATGTTGCAGAGTGTTCTTCAATGAAGCTTTCAAAGACTTCAGAAGAATGTTCACTGACAGAGTATAAGTGTGAAGAATTATCATTATCAACTGCAACTGATTCAGTGAAAAGAACACAAGATCACAAATGTGTGTGTGAGTGTAATCATATTGAATCTGTCATCTTAATATTCATTTATTGAATCCTTGTCAATATCATTCTCTTTTTTTCTTGCTTTTTTGCAAATGTGATGCATTTTCTGCAAGTCTCTTTTTTAAGTGAGCAGTAGTATTATTGATCATCAAGATCTCAAATGCATTAATACTGATAGAATAAGACAATTTTAACTTCTGAAGAGTGTATCAAATGAAGCAGTAGTTCAAATAATGATTATATTGATAAGAAATCCTGAATTGACAGTGATTTTGTGCAAAACAGGTCTTATAACCTGTGAAAGATGTAAAGCTTGTATGATTGAAAGGTTGCTAGCTTTGTGAGAAGTTATATGATGAAAGGATTAGTAAGCCAGATCACGTGACCTGACACTTTAACTTTATATTATATATTAAACAGAGTTCTCTAGTAGTTCTAAAACAGTAAAGATTTCACTGAATTCAATATACAGTGATTAGATAATAATCAAATACTCTGTATAATTTCAGCAGATATATAATCATTCTTAAGAAGATATATAATCTCATTGATAATGAAATCACTGAGTTGAGATAATATGTTAATGATAAAGATAAGAAAGATATGTATTTAAATGTCACGCTCCCGGCCGCGCCAAGGCCCCGTTGCGGTTCCACACGGCCCATCGCTTCCATGCGGATGATTCCATCCCGTCCGAACCGGTTTCCAACCACCCTATGACATCATTCGGATGTATCATAGGAAGATCCGATTGATGGATATGAGAACCCCGCTTTTATACGAGGTCAGCAGATTACTCTTCCTTGGCAATGAGGCGCCGCTGAGGTATCGCTCCGGCTATCCTCGCTCGTGGAATGGGAGGAGGGTATCCGCCCATTGTCTATATAGAATAGCTAGATGCTGGCTCCCCATCAAAGGAGCCAGCGATTCGTTTTCCTCCTACGGAAATATATACAAGAGTTACTGCGTGCCCCATACAATCTTCTTAGTATACTAAGTACCATATCTGTGATATCCTCGCAATAACCTTGTAGCCTACGAGCTCGCTATTCAAGCAAGATAGTCAAGCCCACCCATACGGCTTCCCAAACAACTACTCCTACGTGACGCCGCCGACTAGCCACCGCTTCGGTTCCGCCACGTTACATTAAATAATAATTAATTAAAAAAGACATATATTAAATAATAATTAAATGATTCTAGAGAAATATGAATATTTTGATTTTTTTATAATATTTTGCTACTAATTTTCAGAGAGTGCTGAGAAAATTCTGTTTTTACAAGCAATAACTTATAACCGTGCCATGCTTACTCACTCTCTGTAGTGAGTGTGTCACAGCATATGAAAAATCACACTGTAAAGAAAATATTTTCAATATCTTCATTCTTCATCTTCAAATAATCATCATTAATTATAACCATGTCTAAATCTTCTAATTATACTGAGAAGCAGTTGCAAAGAGCTGTTGATATGTACAAAAGCAATTCAAAATTAAAAATCACATCTCTGTCACAAGAATTCAAAGTCTTATATATCATCTTGTATGAAAGGATCAACAGAAAGAAATCAAGAACTATGAGAGTTTCACTGAATTGAGTATTGAATAACAGTCAGAAAGAGGTAATTAAGATATGAATTCATCAATTAAACATTAATTTTTATTCATTCATTATCAAGCATATCAAAGCTGCTGTGAACCACATGTTGAGACAGCATCATACAGATTCAGAGACTGCATCTCTCACAGTAAGTAAGATGTGAACATATCAATTCATCAAACACCTGCCAGATTACAAACAAGTCAAGCAAAAACCCATGAATTCAAAATGATGCCCTGGATCTCAATATATATGATGGTGATGATGATGTATACAATCACTTTATCTCATCACCTGCAGATTGACTGTCAACTGCCTCCTTGCAATTAACCTCTTCAGAGACAGTTACAAAACTACATCATCAAATCGATGCAGCAGTCAAGGCCTTAGAAGATGTGAAGAATACCCTTACATCTGGTTTGACAAGATGATTGAACAAGATCTTCAAGGATAGCATGGTCCAGGCGGAATTGAACACGCATCATGAGGGTGAACTTACAGATCATTATCAAGCAAATAGACATTGAGTTGTCAAATCCTCCCGCAGACAGGTGCAAGTAGGTGAAGTCCTCACTATTAAGAATGCCAATTGCAAGATTATGACCTGTAGAGCAGATGAGATGAAAAAGACATTCAATAAGACTCTTTGATTGATTGAAATCAAATCTACAAAATCTACAGTCACTCAACCACAATAAGATAATTCTATAGAATCTCAACTTACAGTGGATTCTACACCTTCTAATGAGTATATAGATAATCTTTATATTATAGATAGATGTGATGATGATTATTAATTAATTTTTGAAGATTACTATATTCAAAATATTTTCTTTACAGTGTGGTTTTCCGTACGCTGTGGCGCACTCACTACAGAGAGTGAGTAAGCATGGCACGGTTATCTATCACAATACAAGTTGCATTCAATATCACTACTTTAAGAACCTGTGACTGCCCCACCACGAACTCGCTCAATTTTTCGAATAAGAACCCGCCGATAGATCCATCGAATAGCCCTCGATCATACGAGCATTTTGACCCCATCGCCGACCGCATACCCCGTGTGGTGGTGGAGATATCCAGCCAAACGTGAACCAGACGTTGTTCGAAACTCCTGTGTGGGATTATCCCCCGTTCACCCCTACCACACCACAACCCCGGGCCAAATTGCCATACAAATTGTAAGGTGAAGAGACCTAGCCATATGCGCCAATCTTCTTGATTTTGGAAGATCCCCGACTGTATAATTTCTTTAAAAGACTGAACTACTTATTCAGTTCTATTATATTATTAATATGAATAACTTAACAGAGTCTGATATAGAGAAGATACTTCAATTATATAAATTATTCTCAATACTACAGATCTATCTGCCTTTAGGGAAACCAAGGCGTGCAGGTTCGAAACCCGCAGGGGGATACATTAAATCCGGAACCCAAGCACCTCAGGTTTCTAATAAATACAGAGGTGTACAAATCGCTCCAATAAATCACTCTATGTTCCTGGGCTGGGAAGTTATTATCGCATGTATCTAATTGTCACTCCTTTGTATTTTCCTCTATGTTCTGTTATCTTGGCGTGGTCTCAACACTTGTATTTCCTCCTCCTGTATAGTTAACCAACACTTGGCCTGTATTTAACATCACGCAAGGACTTCATCATAAGCTCCGCTTGCATATGAGTATAATGGAAGAATAATAATAATAATAATAATCTAGAGCTTGAAGATCTGAATAGTATAGAAACTTCTCTCTCTGCATCTCTATAAGAGTAGCTTGAACTCACACTCAAATCTAGTTAATAATCTTCATAAGATATCTGTCTGTTTATTTATTTAAAGCTATATTTATGTAGCAGCATGTGAGACTCTGTCAGGCCTCACTTAAGATACCTAATTAGACTAGATCAAGACCAGTTGCATAGCGCCCTTACGGGATGCAGACACCAACTTAAAGATGTAATCAATCAATCAATCAATCAATCAATCAATCAAGCCCAGGCAGAAGGGCTGGCGGGTTTTGTCCAGTTCCCCGCGGTACCAGCTACCAGATGTTGGTGCGGAGTTGCAGGTTGTGTCCAGGTCACAGTTACACGCCTGCGATGCATGCCGCATAGATCGGTGGTATGGATACGCATGGTATTTACCAGCTGGTGTCTCAATTTAGGGCTGTTCCCTGTGGTATCGTGGTATCGGAATTACAACCAGCGTTTGGCCAGGCGGCTGATGATGTCATCGCAGTCATGTGAGATGTGTCTGATCCACATGGGATCAGATCTATTTGAACTCCATCCAGCCAGAGCAGGCATACAAAAAATAAAAACAGGGGCCAGAGGGAAAAGGGAAGAAGAAACAGATATATAATTACATTTAAAACGTTGCAGCAGCCAAACCCTAACCAGGTATGGCAGTAAATACGTCCCTCTCCCGGCACTGTCCAATCACTCCACTCACACGCATATACATACATACATTCAAACACACAAACCCAGACAGTATGTCTGCAAGTAACTCGCGGGACAAGAAAACCAGAGAACACGAAACGGAAATGCACGGGCGAGATGAATGGGGTTAGGATGGGATGCCAGCAGCCAGAGATAGGGAAACAGTCTAAGCGAAAAACGAAATGATCAGACGTTGAACAAAGGAAGAACGAAATAACAGACGAGAAGCAGTAAAGCTAGGGGCTGCCCAACACGAAGCATATGCGGAGAGGGAAAGAGAAGAGAATTTTTTGGCCTGGTTTATCCTTCTCGTCAAGTCTAGTTGATCAACTTTTGTTTTTCTTGTGCCTTTTTTTCTTTTTTCTTTTTCCATTTTTGTTTAGAAAAACCAGGGGACAGGATGTCATCTTATCTTATCCTAGCCAGCAAATCATCAACAGCGTTCGGGTTTCATTGTTCATGGACGGGCTTGCTTCGGTGTGCTTTTGCTTTTCCCTTTGCTTGGTAACTCTAGTCTGGTTGAGCAATAACGCGTTCGTCTTTTCGTTCCCATCGTCGAAAGGTAGGTGCTATAATAATTATATAGGAGGGTGGAGGAGAGAAAGGGGAGATGGAGACTAAAAAATGGCTCTTTTTTTTCTTTTTTTTCTTTTTTTTACGAAGGCGGCACACCCATACCACCCGCTCCCGCCACTTGCTGCAACCGGGCAGCGAGCTTGGGATATCGCTCCTGGACTTCGAGTTGCGCCCGTGTCGCTTCGGCATATGACACGGCGTTGATCACTTCGGCTTCTGTTCGGGCAAGCTCGCCCGCTCGCTCAAAGTATTTGAGCGCTTCGGATACTTTGCCTTGTTGGAGGAGGAGTTGGGCGAGGGTAGCCACGGCAACGTCGCATTCCGGGTCAACTATCGGAAGAGAGATTGGGTTAATAGCCATTTTAGGGTAAAGGGGGTTAGATATGGAGAACAACAACGGGATATAAAATAGGATGGAGCGTACTGATGAGCGCCTTCTGGCATAGGCTCTCTGCTTCAGCAAAATCATGCTTCCATTGGAACAGGGCTAGAGCCTTGTTGATCAGTGGTAGCACGTTGATACCCCACGGTTTGTTCTTCTTCTCCAGCTCGACCGCCTTGTCGAACTTCTCGATCGCCTCAGCATGCTTCTGCTGGTCGAGCAGGAGCTCACCGTAGTAGTTGTAGACGTCAGAGACGTTCTCGAAGTTTTTAACGGAGCGGCGGAAGGTGGCCATCGCAGAGGCGACGGAGCCCATCTTATACTGTGTTACACCGAGTTGGATGTGCGAGTAGATGAAGTCCCGGTCGACATCGATGGACTTTTGGTAATCCTTGGCGGCCTCCGGGAGCTCGCCTAGGATGAAGTGGAGCTGGGCACGGTGGTAGTAGATGTCCGGGTCATCCTTGTTCTGCGCCACGGCGAGGTCAAAGTCATCGGCTGCAGCCTCTCGGTTGCCTATTGTTGAGACGTTAGTTTCAGTCCGATCGTTGTACCTTGTGTTTGGGATAGAAGAGACGAAAGCCTACCAAGTTCAAGGTGTAGACTTGCTCGCTTGATGTAGCTCTGGACTAACGACGGATCAAGCTCCACACTCTTATTCAAGTCTTGCAGGGCAGCTTGGACATCGCCAGTCAAGTATGTGAAGGTGGCACGCATGTTCAGGGCAAGGGCTTCAAAGTTCCCAAGATTCCCCAACTCGAGTGATTTTTCAAACGCTCTTGCTGCCTCCTCATAACCATCTCCCGTCGACTCGGACAAGGCGAGGAAACCCTTGCGCAACTGACCCTTGCCGCTGTCCTCGTCTAACTCCACATCTTCACCCAGGCCCTCAGGCAGTGGTCGTGGGCGGAAGCTCTGCAGGTAGTTGGACACGAACGTGGCACCGGGGAGTTTCTTCCCCTTCGCCTCCAAGATGGCATGTCCCTTTTGCTCCGCAACTTTCTTCAACAGCCTCTCCACAGCCTGCTTGCTAGATTCCTTAGCGAAGCCATCGATGATGCAGCTGGCAGTATAGTCCAGCAGAGCCTCGCTGAATTTACCCAACTTCTCGTAAGCGTTTGCTCGGCGGTTCATGGCTTTGACATATTCATCATCCATGGAAAGAGCGGCGGAGGTGTCCTCCACCACTTTGTCCCACTCACTGAGGGCATTGTAGCATGCAGCGCGGTTCGAGTAGTACACCGGATCGGGTTTGCAAAGGATGGCCTTGCCGTATAGTTCGATGGCTCGGTTGTAATCGAGGGATCCGAAGGCCTTGTTTCCGGCGGCCTTTAACTTTGCAGCGTATGCCGCACGAGTCTGGGGGAAGGAGAAAAGAATCTCGTATTAGCAAATGATTTACTGGGTTGTTTTGCGGGTGATTCAAGGCGCGCATACTTCGGCAGACAGGCTATCGACGGTAGATGCGTCGACCTTGGGCAATTCTTCTGGAACTTCCTCAGGCTTTTTCTTGGCAGGGTCTGTATCGGAGAGTTGGGTCAGCATCTACCTCGCACCAGTTCTACCCGTGTATACAGGTATCGTAGCAGCAGAAAAGGAAGATGGGTTTGTAGCCATACCAGTAGCGGCAGCAACGCCAGCCTTTTTCTCTTCCTCAGCCTTCTTTTTCTCACGCCGCCTCTCCTTTTTGCTCTTCCTCTTCTCCGCAGGGTGTGCGGAGGCCGCGGAGCGGCCGGACGCTGATAGGTAGTAGACGACACCGGCGCTTGTGACGACAACGGCAACTCCGGCAATGGTGTAGACAATTGCCTTATTCTCGGAGGCCCATTTGGAGATGCGGTCCCAGGCGGAGGATGACGGTTGCGCTTGGAGAGAAGATGTGTTGAAGGCGGCGAGCTGGCTTGCTGGGACAGCAGGGGGTACGGGAAGGACCTTATCTGACGACATTATTGGGCGTTATGGAGGCGACTTGGAATATTAGAGCACTAGAGAAAGAGTAGAATATAGCAATTGGACTGTTATTGTTGTGAAATAATAAATAAAAAAAAAAAAAATTAAACTCGGAAGTCGCAGGTTTTGGTACAGGCAGAGCTGGGCAAATAATACAGAGACCAGGAATATTACACCCGGAATGAAAAAGCTCCCCCGAAGCAAATGGGTAAGGGCACGCAAATGAATGGGCACGAGACAGGGACGGAGGAATGACAGAGGGGTATGTTATGTATTCCAGGCTGGGGTGGTGGGGAGAGCGGGTGGTTGGTGGTGGTGTTTATGTTTATGCCGGTGTCTGTTTCAATTGCTTGGATTCAGGATGTTGATGTTTGAAGCTTTTTTTTTTTTTTTTTTCCTTTGCGGACGTCTTGGTAAGTTAGTAACAAATTAGTCAGCAGGCAGCTTAGTGATTATGTCAGCCGTATCTCGTTGTTCTTAAGGAACGAGGCCACAGGCCAACAATCTTTATATCTTTATAGTGTGTAACATGTAACTAACTATACATTATTTATATAGTCTTATTATCCTCCAAGAATTGTCTTGAGACAATTTTCATGAGACAGACAGTGGCAGATCTAGGAGAATCTTCCTAGGTCATTCTTCATGGCTCTCTATTCAACGTGTCTTCTCTCCTGGAACGGCGGCACCAAGACATGCTCTCTGGGTCGACATTCCTGGAACTGTTATTGGCACAGATCTTATTCTATTTCGTGTCTTCTCCCTTTGTGACAAATTGTGTCATTGGGTCAGTCGGTACAGTGCTTACGTCGAAACAAGACTACATCGCCTCTCAAGAATATCTTCTTATTCCACATATGGGCTTGAGACTACCGTATATGCAGTTACATGTTACATCTGACCATTCTTCTTTTGGTGTTTTGCTCCTCTTGCGCAGCAGTCCAGCGGCCGTGTTCGGCGGCTCAATCGGACACTCTTGGTCCATCTGCGCCTTTGCCTCCTTGGGAATCAACAGCAGCACGTTGGCTCCGTCCGACATCGCCGCTCGAAAGTTGGACGAGACGCTGACTGACCGCATGCGCATGTCGTAGTACAGAAACATTCCCCGCCGCTTGTAGCCCCAGACAATTCTCTCCAGGGCATCCTTCCTAGAAGGATCGATGGATAGGACGTCGGCCACCCTCCATTGCTTCCGCTCGTAGACGTGAAGTGTGATTGTGATCTTCCCATCGTTGCGCGCCGGCTCTGGCTCCGTCTCAATGGACGGAAGCGGGATCGTGGGCGGCCAAGCTTCCCTGTCGGCGACATTGGTACTGTCCCCACCAGGGTCCGTGAGCGAGCTTGCCGCCAGCTCTCTGAAGTTGTATTGGGTGACGGGCCGCGGACGAAGCCCCCTTCGTGATGCGATGTTCCTGGCCACTCGGCTGCCTCCACCTGTCCGGCCGTCGCTTTGGTCGAGCTCGGCATCCGCGGCGCCCACGTCAAATCGAACGTGAGCGCCCTTCTCCCTCGTTTCTAGCCGTGTCAACTCCACCGCTGGAGCCGCCGCTCTAGGCTCGACTAGTGGTGGCTCTAGGTTCGGTGGATCATCTATGGGCCCGGGCAGCTACTTGGCGTCTGATCTGCTTTCAAGCTCGTCACTGATTGCATCGACCCGGTTGGCCACTCGATCCACATCTCGCCGCGTTGGTTTGGCCCTTTGTGTCTTGTGGATCCCGCCAGGATTGGACTTCCGCCGTCGTTCCCGTCCTGCAGACACGGTGGCGGGGGGGGCGGGGTTGGCTGTTTCTGCTTCAACGACAATGCTGCTGGCCCGTCCCTGATCACCTTGCCCTGAGGCGGATGGAAAGGCTTCAGCCGCGGCAGCTTCTTCAGAGGGTCCCCAGATCACTTCTGGCCCCGCGCCCCGCAGATGACTGGATAATTCTACAGCGGGATTCTCCATATGACGTCGACGTGCCTGTACCAATGCGGAAGGCTCCACCACTTGCCTTTTGTCATCCGCTCGCTGCGCTGGCACTTCAGCAGCTTGCTCTTCAGCATTTCCATCCAGTTGATTTGGCACTGCTGCTTGTGTTGCTGTCATATTCATTGCTGATGATGGCTCCCTCATTTGTGGCACTGGGGTTGAGCTCGGGTCCTCAGGGTGCCATCCCGGCTGGGTATGCACCACTGGAATATGACCACTGGCCCGGTTGGCTGCTTGTTTTTCCATCCGAGATCTTTTTTAATTCCTGCTGGATTCACTCACTGGTGTCCAGTGGAAGTTTTCTTGTGAGTGTCCTGGGGCGGTCGCGCTTCATCATTGCCCAGCACACTTCCTTGCTGACGCCATCCTGTGATCATGCTCCGCGCGTTGAACTGGGTGATGAGCCGGGAAAGTGTAGCAGTAGCAGTGTTGGTTTCACATTTCGCACTGTCAGTGGTTTGCTCGGCTACCTGGCTTTGCAGTTGAGTGAGAGCCATGGCTCGCTCCTGTGCCACCTGCTGTTCTGATTTGATGCGTGTGTTCTCAACCAAGGCACTGTGTTCTATCTCGAGCAGGGCGCGTTGTTCTCTCTCCCACTGGGTGTGTTCTTGCGCATCATGCTCGCCTGCGGCTCTCTGTTCCGCATCACCCTCCAGCATCTCATTGAGATTGTCAGCAATTGCTCTCTCGACCTCCGCGTCATCTCCGGCAGCAGGGGCATCTGTGGCAGGGGCATCTGTGGCTCGCGCCTGGGTCATTTCCGGCCGTCGTCTTGTGAGTGCTGGATAATGTATCCATGCCCCTGGGCCTCTGATGGATCGTCTATCAGACTGTTCTCTGATACAAATAGTGGTGACATAGGCACGCTAGAGGGGGTGCTATCCGCCCCTTGACGAAGGGACGGCTGTGGCCCAAAGAATGCAAGATAGACACAGCACCTCATGAAAAACGTCATGACCCTGTCCGGTACAGCTGCCGCCTGCATGTGATTGACGAAGAGTAGTGGACTGTCTTGCTCGAGGGCCTCCATGGAAGGGTGTTCACAGCGAGCCTTGCGTTTCACCAAGCAGTTGACAAGAACTGATGGTGCTCAAACGTCCCTGGGCATGGCCACTGTGAAGCATTCGACGATCCGATCGATCAATGTATCGAATAGGGTATTGTCATATGAGAAATACTCGGGCTGCGGAGCCTTCAGCAACGCCTGTTCAGCGATCAATTGGTCAGGAGCTTGGTTGATGAGGTTTGTGATCTGAGTGGATCTGAATCTCAGCTGATGAGTGAGGGACGCCATTTCAGACACAACACACTCGTCCGCGGTCGCGTTCCGCGCCTTGGCCAGCTGATTTTTGTGTTTTGGGTCGCGAGGCATCTGTGGATAATGGTGCATGGTGTATAGCCACATCTGCTGAGAGGCAAGATCAAACTGCCTTCCAACAGGCTCACGCTGACTGTTGAATGCGGACTCAGAGGTTTGAACCGGGCATATGTCACTGCCATCACTGCATGTTGTCCATAAGCCCTTCATTGTCTGGTGTACAGTGGACTTCCCCAAGGTGAACAGCCTTGCCAGACAGTGAGCCCAGCTTTTGAAACACTTGAAATGTTTAAAGAAAGAATTCAGAGATAGAACCAGGGTGCTGAATGACCACAGCTTCTCTCAGATAGCATCTCTTTCATCTTCATCAAAGTCAGTGAAGATCTGACCACTGGTCACAAGATCATGCATCACTTTGGCTTTGGAGCACAGCATCATCAACTGAAGTGTCTTGACTGTATGCTGGTCAATCTTCACCATCAACACTGGATTGTTGTTGATGAGAGAGAACCAGAAATCCTTCACATAATTCAAGTATTGAGAATTTCCTGCTGACATTAGTATGGGTGAATGAATGATGCTGAGTGAGAACCAACCTCATCACAACTGACTGCTATGACTTGATGGAGCATGCTGATCCGCATTGCATTCCAGTGTCCTGGTATTCCAAGCACGCTGTCAAAGGCATGTCTGAGGCGAGTATTCTTAAACAGTGACTGCAGACGGGTTTGGCTGTTCAAACACAGCTGAGCCTTCCACCGCAGCTCTCTGTGGAGATTTCTGTTGTTTGCATACTGGCGGATTCAGCGGTAGATTTCTCCATCACTCAGTGGCATCTCATTGAAATATTCTTTGATGAGAGATGTCTTCAGGTCGTCCCTGATATCTACAACGAGCAAAAGTCAGACCTCCTCGCGGCTACCAGCCTAAGAAATCTTACCGTCCGAATAAACGTCAACGACCCACCAGCGGTGGGCAGGCGACAAGACTTCTAGCCCCGACTGCGATCCGGCGTTTCGTCCATGTAGTCCATGTAGTCCCTGTAGTTGCCCGCCCTTCTGCGGCGCAGCCGCCGCCAGATTATGCTGCGATACAGCTGGCTGCAGGTAAATACACGGTGTGCCAGAGCCATGCTCTGGCATCCCTCTTCTTGGAAAATCCTGCATAAGCGATCAACGTTCTTGTGGTCTAGCTGTCGAGATGACTGAGGATCGAAAAAAAAAAATTTGATCTAGATCGACTCTGGCGGTTCCGTGGAATTTTTGAGACGTCTCTCAGCCGCCAGATGAGTGTCTCTCTCGGTGAATTGGAGGGACTCCATCACAATAGAGTGCTTGTTGCTCGTTCAGGATAATTTAGAACAGAGATGGTAAATCGAACAGAGGGGTTGGAGACGAGCTTTATGTACCAGGCGCGGCCACTTTCGAAGGTGACTGCTAAAGTGGCTCAGGGTGAGCGCTGTTTCAAGGACCCTCGCCTTTTCTATTTAAATCGTTGCAGCGCACCCGCCCCATCCCACTCACAAGACCTACCCCCCTACCTCTTCCATTCATTCTCGATCTCTTTCTATCAAGTCTACGCTGCGTGTACCGCTGTGCCATCCCATAACCATGTCATTCCAGCAGTCGAGCAGTTCGATCACTGCATTCCCTACGACAGAACGTGGGAAAGAATCTCCCTCCGTGGAATCTGACAAGGTCAGTCGCGCCGGCACAACCGGTTCACAGGGTGCAGTCCAACCAAGCTGGCCAAAGAAGAGAGCGCCTACCCCCGAACCAGCAACATATAGAAAGCGAATGTGTGGGCCTGCCAGAGACCTGGTTCTTGGAGAACCATCTAAATCCGGGAAGAGTCTGGTAGGATACATTCGTGGTTCAGCACAAGTCACCATGGGAGACTTTCTCAATAAAGTTTACGCGTGTGAGTTGACTGGACCTTTCGATGTAGCTCTTCCTCGCGTCCGCCCCTGCGGACTTGTCGCCATCAGGACATTTCAGGGGCCTGACAGTGAGAAAGCACTGTGGTGATTCAAAGAACTCTGTCATCTCAACATCCTCTCCTCTCAGGAATGCTTTGTACATGAAGGATCAGCCTTCCTTCTTCATTATGAAGTCTCTGTCTCATTGAATCATCTTGTGGCCTGCAAAGCCTATCTGAATGAAATCGAGCTCACATCCGCTTTAGCTCAGGTAAGCTCCCCACAGAAATCAATGAGAATGTCATTTAACCACAGAAAGATCCTTGATGGCTCTTATGTATCTCACTGATTGGTGGGTCGAGCACTCTCGCTTGAGCTCTCTCAACATTCTTGTGTTCAGGATGGGAGAAGTGAAGATTGGTATGAAACATCCCCTGCAGCCGGTGATCATCACTGATCTTATTTTGTAGCTGGTCTGGAGGAATGTTTGGAGCTACCAGCAGGTCTGGTCTCACAGTACTCTAAACCACTGGAGGTGATTACAATGGAACTAATGCAGAAATACAAGAAGGAGAATGGTAAAACTGGTGTGAATAATATTGAACATTGGGGTTGCAACTCACACGTCACGGAATTTCTATCCTTCATTGAATCAGGTGTTTCAGTTGAAACACTATGGAAGGTGAGTTCTATCTGAACTATCCTACGGTTGCTGTTCTCACATTCAATAGCATTCATTATTCACAGAGATAACCTTGGTGCAAAGGTCACCTCATGGATCTGGTGTCTTTTGCTTTGCGCTCGTCGTTTACATACTGCTCTTATTTGAGATGATATGGAATGTGACGTGCCGTATTGTGAGGACCTTGATATATATATATCTATGTACACATCTACTCAAGTAGGAAAATACAACTTTTCAGGCTCACTCTGTCCATGTTCCGTCTAGCCTTGAAAGAAGAAAGGAAGAGGAAATTCAGAGCCACAATTATCAAGCTTGTATCCTGGCCCTCCAGCTCGTAGAACTGTAAACACTAAGGATTCAATATCAAGGAGATGCTTTACACGGCCCGTTCGACGCCACGGTTATATTTGTTTACTAGGTCTACTGTTTCCAAACCGATCATTCCGTCCTTTACGACTAACGTGGCTGAAACTCAAGCTCTGACATAGTAACCCTGTCGTGCAAGAAGTCGTGGACAACGCTTCGCAGCTGATCGCGCATTTTGTCTGACACCGATACTGTGAAGGTCAGACAGAACTCTCACCGGGGGTGTAGTGAACTCACTCATCATGAGCAGCTCGCCACGGTCTTCCTCGCCATTAGAGACTCTCTTGATATGGTCACCTGACACCTCTGTCTGGATGATGTTTCGGTAGTCCGCTAGGCCCTTGTAGACAAGGGCATGTTCATGGTTCTCAAGTTTCATGATCCCTCCGGACTCAACATAGATAGAGATTGTGAGGATCTGCTGTGAGTGTTAGCATGACCCTTGCAGCGGATGGGACAGGTTCACACATGTAGCCATTGGCTACAGTATCATTCTTTAGCAAGCTGTTCACTGCTGATTCTACAGCAATTGCCATATTTAACCTTGTTAGTGTGTTCAACCATACATATCAAGCTAGCTAGCCTACTGAGGGTTTGTAGTTACTAGTTGCCACATCAAATGTACCTGTTATATGCAACAAGTTGAGGTGTTGTGCTCATAGATCAGCTTTTTGAGATACAGGATCACAGCTGTGATGCCAGCATCACTGGCAATCAGCAGAACACTCTCATATCAGTCAACAGGTTCACTGATTCTGTGAGAGTTGGTAATGAAGGCACTGAAGAAAACAGTGCTCTGACACAGTCAAGCAATGTAGCTGACATACCATGCTGAGCCTTCACATAGAGATTCAACATGATTTATCTTCCTCATGATTATAAAGAGATCATGTAGAGATGAGTCTGTGTCTTCAAAAACAAACTTACTGTGAGTATTCAGAGATTGACATACTGTTCAGTATTCAGTTTCATTGAGTGAGGCAGAACAACCTGAATCACAGCAGCTTTTTTGACATCTTCACTTGTTTTCTCATTGTTGTCTGTACTGTCATAGCTAACATATGTCTGAGATGACTCATGAGACATGAATGCACTGTTCTGATAGCAGAAGAACAGGATCTGCATGAAGATAGTCAGTGTAAATGATTTCAGTGACACATAGATACAAATTCTTGACACCAACTGATTTACTGATATATGATGCCAGATTGCATATAGAAGAAGTGCAGTCAGTCCTTGATGAGTCTGAAGAAACCACTCATAGGCCACACAGTGAAAGAACAGGAAAGAAAAGAACATGATCACTGCCACTGAGGCTGAGCTCTAGAAGAGTTTATTTAGCACATGATCATCTCTCAAAGAAGATAACCTACAATGGCAGTGATGAGGTTGGTGGAATCCCTCAGAGGGAAAGCAACTTGACTGATCAGAAAGTGTAATGATGACATGGATTGCAAGAAGGAGAACACTCATCCAAGCCATTGAACCATGTATCTTGCAGCATGTATGAAGAGAAACATCAAGAATCTCAGCCAGGAGGCTGAGATGTGGCCCTGTGAAGAGAAAGGTTATATTCATGACCGACAACACACCTGCTCGGCCACCAATATCAGATACTGAGGGGGCCGAAAGGAGCAGGCAAACGAGGTTCACAGCTAGATACAAAATATGAATGAGAACAACCAGGGCGAGTCCAGGGCCCGGCGAAGCGATGGCGACCAAGGCAATACGGGGTAGGTTAGATGCCTTGAAACAAAGACCGAAACGGAGCTCGCAGTCCACCTCTTCGCGACAACCAACAGGTTGGTTGCTTCGAAGAGTGGCATTCCAGAAGGTGTTGTTGATAGTAGCCAGTCAGCTAGGAGCTACACTAAATCGACCGTGACGTGATGCAAACTAAAAAGTTCGTTGTCACTACGGAGTAATTTAAAGTTAACAACGAACTCTGGTAGTTAACTAGTTAGGGTAACTTAGGTTTAGTAAGTTACATTAGTTAAGCCAAGCATTGCAAAGTTTGCGGAGAGTAACTAGTTAGTTAACTAACTTAACTTACCCCCGCAGCAGCAGAGCTGGGGCCCCCTTTCAACCTCTTAAAACTAATCCAATCATCTCATCAGTAACTTAAATTCTCTCCACAGAAACAACTTTAGCTGGCAATCGAAAGTGGGAACCCCTTGGTGGAGTTATCAGGGGCTAATAATAAATAGTTATGAAGCTGTACTGTAACTACGGAGTACTCCGTACTCCGTACTGCGTATATATGGGGTCCCTGGCTAACTAACTGCATGACAATCGCTGGTAGGTTTCCAGGTTTCCCCTTTTTGGTACCTCTGGCATTAATCGGAACAAGCATCTTTCATTCCATAGAATGCTGGACGATTTGTCCTTCTGAACCATACAGAGTAGGTCAATCTGTACTACTAAATCTTTTGAAACTTTGTCTGACCATTTTTTTGAACCCTTTGACTTCGAATGGAATGGTCAATCTGTAGCGGCGCCCGCCCCAGTGGCGTTGCCCTAGCGATCGCTCGGCCTGCACGCACGTTGATCTCATATGTAATTATTAATAATAGAGAGATGAGGGTAGTAGTTATACAGGAATCTGGCATGTCTGCTTCTGGATTAGTGTGGGAGGCTCGCCGCTCTGTCCTCACCCTTGCCTCACCTCGCCATGCATGTTTGGTTAACGAGATCCAGTCAAATAAGATGGCTCCGAGACATAGCTGCACGTTCGAGGCTGCTCACGGCCGCCAACACAAGCGGGGTAACATGGCTGTTGCTGCCTCGTTAATATATAAAATCCGGCGCTTCGGTTTTCTTTATACGTAGGCTCCTTTGTGATCTTCCCATGACGCCGCGAGCAGACTTATCCAGTGCAGGAAAGATACAATCAGGTATATGAAGCATTGTCTCTTGCTCATAGAGTTTGGAATTCTGACAGGTTTAGGAGCCTTGCAATGAATGCATTGAAGCAAGCAATAAGATGAGCAAAGGGCCAAGCACCAAAGAACAACCCAGTTAAATGGAGAAACACACAAATTATCATCAGCAGCTTCACCGAGGACCCAACACTCCCAACTTACAGTTCCTTCATTTGGGGTGTTATCAAGTCTGTATCCTAAAAGGGAAGTGGATACATGGCGAACTGACATTATGAAGGAACACGGTGCATACTAGCCACACTGACTCTCGGTACCATATCACCCTGCATATAAATACGGCAGAAATGATAGCCAAAGGAACAGTTCGGCCAATCCATATTTACTCAAAAGCCGACAAGGGAGAGGAGTATGAGTCATTCAAAATTTTCGACGAGAGACCAGAAAAGGTGACAGATGGCGAGCCAGGAGATCAAATTGAGTAACTGAGGTCATGAGTAGAAGGACATTCAATGAGAGTTGTCTGATTGTCTTTGCATTGATTAGTTACATGAAGATGAGTTTGCTGGCTTCCTGTCTTCATCTGTGTAGCTCAGTTACTTGATCCCTTTGCACTGTGCCCATGCTATTTAAAGCCGTACCTTATAAACCACATTTCGTAAAGCCTCCATCCCCAACATCCATAGTGGCGAACCTCTTGACTCGCTCCCTTACTAAGAGCCTACGCCAATAAATCATGTCACTTATCCAGGCGAGAAAGAGTTCTAAGTAGAGAGGCAAGTGTACCTCTCTCTTGGGGTTCGTAACTGAGCAGTCCCAGTAAAATCTCTGTCAAAGACATCAGGTCTGTCTCAGTAAACTCTGGTGGCAGCTTCTCGGATTCTTCGATAGGAATTTCTTCTTCGTCTTCATAGCCGTCAAGAGCTAAAAGCTTAGCGTCATCCTGGTTGTAGTTGAGTTCAAGATATTGGTAGAATCCCATATCTCGGGCGGGGGTGCTATCAAGCATATTCCGAACATCGCTTTCCAAGCTGTCATGCAACTTTGATGGCGGTTGTCCAAGGACTTGTTTCAAGCCAACGATCATGTCCATCCGGTCTGCTAAGAAAGAATCCATGAATGTCCTTCCTGTGATAATTTCGAATATCTTGCAAGTCTTTCTGTCAGCAGTTCTCTCACGCCTTTTGAGGAGGATGGATACTGACTAAACAGCCAACGCTCCACATATCGACATTCTTATCCAGAGGTTGGGCATAGACCGACTCGGGTGCACGCATATGCCAAGGAGTGTACAAGCGACTTGGTGGGTTTTCGTGAAAGAATGCTATGTGCGTGTTAGTACTGTGAAAAAGCCTTTGGCAAGTTAGAATATCTACCGTTCCCCAAGTCAGCAATTCTAATGTCCATATCGTCACCGCGGATTGAAACTGGTCGGACCAAGTAAGGCGGCATCGAAGGCGAAGAGCTTTGACCGTCTGTCATTTGAACCCTGCCAGTCACCGGTTTCCCCAAGTAAGGCATAATCTCATCTTCTGATAGTTGAGATACAGCAGGGGCAGAGTAGAGGACATTTTTAGAATATAAATCTTCATAGTTCTGAGCAACGGCACTCTTCAAGTTGTAGGATAGCGGCTTGCTTACCTCCATGTGCAATGCCGCATTTCCAGAGGTAGTCCAAACCGAGGGCTACTCGGGAACAGACGTTTAGCGCAACCTGCTTTGGCAAGCGTTGTCCGTGCTGGGCGTCTATCCGAGAACGAAGGTCCATGCCCATGACCGGGAATATCAAACCCATGTATGGAGTTGCGGGCTCAAAGTGGTCAAGGAGCTGGAGCACTGAAGCACGACCTGGGTGGCCAACATTTGCCTGGGCAACGCTGGATTGTTGGAGGTGGTGTAGAACTCTGAACTCCTGGGAGCTATCGTTCACGTTGATAATCTTTAGGGCCACATTGGAGTATTTACGTCCTATTCGTCATTTAGCTCCACCTCTGTTATTCCATTTACGAAGACGAAGTTAGCTATACAGGTTATCTCTCGCCAGCCAAACAGTTGCGAATCCACTCCACCCAAGTTTATGCAGAACACGGTATCTACCGCCCTTAAACTCATTCCCCAATGTCACTGGAAAGTAGCGTCCCGTGTGATAACCGTTTGGATCCTCAACATCAATGGCACATTCATACACCGAGTTGTAGCAGTTGACATGCTGGTGGTTGATTACGTTAACGGCCATACGGCCATCCAATCCTTGGCTCTTGTTCTATTATTATTCCACAAGAAGTGGCTTAACTAGTTAAGTTAACTAGCTTTTAAGGCTCGCCGCCGCTGCAGTAAACTACCGTACCGCGAGCGGGCCTGGGGATTTGGATACCGAGGTAAAATAACAGGTCGATAGCCTGTGGGGAAATCATCCCGTCGATGAAATGCGGGGATGGTCTCTGGATGTCGGTCAATTATTCCTTTTATTTACTTCCTGTTCTCATATTTAATACGGTCGCTATTCTCTACTATTCCGCCGCAGCATTGGGCAATTTGAATTCTGCTACGCTATTTTTCCCGTGAGCGCTCTGATAATTTTCACTACGAAACTTCAAACTTGGCTTGCACCATGGCTACACCTTCGCTAGAAGCGCAGCTCCAGGCGCTGGGCATGATGAAAGGGCCCCTGCCTGCAGACCCTGTTGATCGGGCCAACGTGGAGCACTGTCTCCGTCACGGCTACGTCGTGCTTGAGAACTGCTTCACCACGGAAGAGGCGGACGCCGCAAAGGCTCAGATCGACCGGCTAAGTGGCTCCGATCCGATCAAAGGTCGGAACGCGTTTGAAGGGCTAAATACGAATCGGATATATTCGCTATTGAACAAGTATGTACAGTACATACATGTACGGGTCTCTACCACGGCAATATCTGAAGATTGTTACTTGTTATAGGATGAGGTTAATGTCTATTTCTTGAGACCATAGGACGAGAGCGTTCGACAAGTTCGCAATGCTCCCTCGTGTGCTTACCTTGAATGACTACTTCTTGGACACGGGGTACAATATCACTGCTTTTCATACCATCCAGATCAACCCCGGTGAAGCCCACCAAGGCTTGCATCACGGTACGCCCGCGAAGTTAATGACAGTCAAGGTTTGTCGATGGCTAACGGAATCTCGAAGCTTGTAGATGACTCTTTCTGTCATGTCCCACGTCCACGTATGCCACTGGGAAGTGCGATAATTCTAGGTACGGCATTCCAAGGGGCCGCTGCGACAAAGCAGATTTCGCTGACTTTGTCCTTTGAAAGCATTCGATGAATTCACTGCCGAGAATGGCGCCACACGCATCATCCCCGGTAGTCATACTTGGGGGGCCGACCGGCGTCCAAAGTACGACGAGACTGTGCCGATGACCTGTCCCCCAGGGAGCGTCGTCTACTTCCTTGCCACAACGTGGCATTGTGGCGGACCAAACAACTCCCTTAACCCCCGAAAGAGCGCGACGGTCCAATACTGCCAGCCCTATGTGAGGAACTAACACCTCCTTACGCTGGGTAATTGTAATGACTCCGCTGACATACCGATCCCCCATAGGTCCGACCAATCGAAAACCAAATTCTTGCAGTCGACCCTCGAAGACTCACTGAGATCCCACGACGCATTGTTGAAATGATGGGATATCAGATCCACGCACCCTTTATCGGTTACGGTGTGTTTCTCCTTATCACCTTTTATGTTCTGCTCGCTATTAACACTTCATTCCTTTGCTCAGCGGACGGCTTGAATCCTATCACTGCGGTACGTAGGATGGTAAACTGGCTTCAGGGTCCCCTGGACCCTAACCCCCCGACGTTTGCGTCCAAGGCAGAAATTTCGGGAAATGCTAAACTGTAAATAACAACTGCGTGATAGTTAATAAGGCATTTTAAGGGGAACAGTCCGCCTGCTCTAGAAATTTTACTTCTGCTTTCATCCTGTCCATTAAACTTATTCGTGGATTTGTTCATTTTCTCGAAATTTCCTTTCTGAAATATGCATGGACCGTTTTGCACCGGTATTAATCCTCCGCCTGATTGTGCAGCGGACGTTGGGAAGCCAAGCACCAAGGGGAATGAATATATTTCTTGCTGCGAAAACGATCGCGATTAGAACCAGCTACTCACAAATCACGGCCGTGGCGCCTTCATAAAGGCGAAGCGTTAATATGTGTCAGTGTGACTTTTCCCTGGCTTCCAGGAACTAATCGAACGCAGGATAAGCTGTCTCTTGCCGCCGATCGAAGTGGATTGCGCTCTGAGATATCGACACCCCATTCATCAGGGAATTCAACGGCTGGTGCCACTTTCCAATAAGCGCATGAAGTTCCAATTTTAAATTTTAGGTATTGTCCTGGCTAAGCTCCAGTTTCCATACAACACAATAATAATATTCAAAGTCTGTAGAAAGAAACTACCGGTCCTTGATTTCGGAATATCGGTCCAGATCGACTTCGGGACTTTTAAGGTTTCGGATTGGTCCAGCTTACTAGTCCGTATTTGGTCTAGTGTCCGAACACGGCCTCGCCCGAGTTGACTCTGCCGAAAGTATTGCATGACCCCTGAGTTGAAGATTCTAAAGGTGGAAATTAATCCGAACGTAGGAACTATAACCACGACCAAGTCCAGTGAGATGGCACAAGACGTACGCAATAAGAGGCGAAGTTTGGACCTGGCTCAGTTTCAAACCAGATTGTATGACGAGTCTTGCTATTTCTGTTCCGAATTGTTGATGCTCTATCGCAATGGCAGGCAATGTCCTTTTCTGTTTATATAAAAGGGGATGATGCTACTAGATCTGTTGTTGCCGTCTCTCGTTCACTTTTCTCCCATACATATATAGAGAGTTTTGTCATACGTTATCACTTCTCCTGCGGCTCGCGAAATTTCAGACAAGATGGCCAATGAAGAATTTCATGACTTCTACAAATATACCCCTTCCAAGGCTGCGGCCATAGTCTTCATTATACTCTTTTTGCCAACCACTGGCTTTCACACATTCCAACTCGTCAAAAGGAGTGTGTGGTTTTTCATCCCTGTCGTTGTTGGGGGAATCTGTGAGTGATTGATGTTGCCATTTTCGGCGTATGAGCTTTGCATGTTTGCTTGCTCATATCATTCAGTTGAGATTGTAGGATACAGCGCCCGCATCATCTCGAGTACCGAAGCGCCCTTATTCACAGATACGCCGTACATTATCCAAAACCTATTTTTACTGCTAGCTCCAGCTCTGTTTGCTGCGTCGATATACATGGAGCTAGGACGCATCATTGCCATCCTCCACGGCGAAAAGTTTTCGGTAATACGAAGAACTTGGATGACCAAGATTTTTGTCACTGGTGACATCCTTTCCTTTGTTGTTCAGGGATGTGGTACGTACTATCTCTCGATACCAGCTCTTCATCGCTAGGTTCTCTTTCACAAAACGGCTCTCGGCTCGTGCGGATACATGGATCATCTAACGGCAAGCTTAGGCGGCGGAATCATGTCTAGCGGTACAAAGTCGAATCTCTCGTTAGGCCAAAAGGTGATCATCGTTGGCCTGTGCATCCAGCTTATCTTTTTCGGCCTTTTCATCATTGTCTCGGTCATCTTTCACCGCCGGATGGCTGCTAGGCCAACGACAGCATCACTATCTATCCAGGTTTCCTGGAGTAAATACCTCTATTCTCTTTACGCCGTCTCCGTCCTTATCATGATCCGTTCCATATTTCGGATTATTGAATACATTCAGGGCGCGGACGGCACGCTCCTGAGCCGCGAATTTTACCTCTATATTTTCGACGCCACGCTAATGTGGATTCTTATGATGGTGCTGAACGTCATGCACCCGGGTGTGATTTCCGAGTTGTTGAAGGGAGATTCTCGGCTGAAATCCGTTGGCATGGATATGCACCCTGAGGAGCTTGGGCTTGCCGGAACTCATGGTAATAATCCGAACTCAATGAGGAAACAAAGGCCCAGTTTCGCGGAGACAACATATGCGAGGCATGCTATCGCAACGAGGGGCCTAGCTTGAGCGATGCGTGTACTCGGAACAACAGAAGCGCTGCTGTATCACGATTTTCCTTTGGTCATCTGGAAGCTGGGGGGTTTTGGAGGCTTCTATTGACGCGGGTTTTCTCGTACTTTGTATGTTACCGTTCATTCGCGCTTATCATGGATTTTGTTCCTTTGGGCATATTTCTCTATTAGCATTTTGTTCAGATATAGATAGATAAACAATACTTTATACTTGACCCTTTTATCGCTTCAGGCGTGTCATTGAATACTAGAGTTCGCTTGTTCTGAATAGTTCCGTCCGCAAACTGTCTCGTGATGAGCAAAGTAGGGAATAGGGCATGAGGCGCTCTACGCACCAGAATAAAAATTCATTGCAATATTTCATATACTAAGTAAATCCCAATCCGCAGCGTCTAAATCTATGCTTCGCATTTCCACACCAATTGCTCTCATCGGCCAAGCTATTGCATGCCTCCAGCGCAGGTCTAGACTTCTAAAAACAGCATCAATAACTTGCTCGCTCCAACCGTCTGCCCACCACCGTGTTGGCGCTCGATGGAGCAAAACACAAAAGTGCGCCAAAAGTACCAGGGCTGTTGGATCTCGCCGCCTCAAGGACTGCTGAATCTGTTTGGAAAATATGATGGGGAATCGTAGAGCCATCGACCAGTCTTTGCGTTTCGTTTCCGCCATGACGAATGAGTCCCAGAGCTGCTTGATGGCGACTTGATAAGTCTCATTGATCGTTCCGTCGCTACCTCGAATGGTAGTCACACTCTGACAGAATTGCTCCATGAGTTCTAGTCCCATGGCAATGTCTGGAGGGAGGTACTGACGGTCTGTAATCGCTGGCCCACGTTGAAGGAGCAGAGCGAGCGGGCCATCTGAAAGTGAGTCCCACGACGATCGTATAGTCTCCATGGCTGTTCTTAGAAGGGTAAACACGTCCAGCAACTCGCCAATCGGATCTTCCATCCTTCCATTGTCGGCCGAGAATTTTGACGAGCCCAAGGCGAAGTAGATTGTCAAATTAGAGAAAGCAAATACGGCGCTGCTATTAGACTTGGTCATTCGCGGCACCGTCGAGCGAAATGCAACCACCGCATCATGGTACTGTGTGCGTGCCAATTCCTTGTATGAAGACCCACTCCCATGAGCAGAAGTCTCGCGAAGATGACTGATATGTAGCGCGGATATGGCGAGGATGACATGCATGAGGAACTGGTACGATTGCGCCTCGCGAGGAACAGCTACCTGCCAAATGGACCTGTACACTTCGTAGTCGGCGAAAACAGCAAATGCAGTAGTAGCATAATGATGCATTAACTCGAGCTCCTGTAATGGCGTGGTTCCATTGTGTGCTAAGCGGGTAGGAGGAATAAGGGGGGGGCGGGAAGACGGGAGCAAGTTGTTCTTTTGCACTTCATTCGACGGTTGGGCAGGCTGAGGGTTACTATATCGAGATGGTATGAAGCTAGATGGTTGACCCCATTGCAACTGATAGCTGCAGTTCACTTTGCGATACTTGCAGTTGCGGCAACACGGTGCTTGTTCGTCACACTTCAACGAGGGCAAGTCAACATCGCTGGTACAGAGCTTGCTTTGCGAAAAGAGACAGAGAGAAAGGATCCTTAGGAAGAAAGGAAAAGAAAAGGACCATCCGGATGTTACGCCCTGCAGGTTGCGGCATAGGATATTTAGAGAGCTTCTACGAAACCTTAGAAGGCCTACCTTCACTTTTCTTGCTTTGCATTGTTGGCAGCCGTTGCGCGACTTCTTTGGGATCTTTCGCACGACCTGAGCATGGGACATTTGCTTCGCTTCTTTGGGTTCCGTGTTCTGTAGTTACAGAGAACGGCGAGATATGGGAAATGAAGAATTCGATAAGGAAAGAATCTCGCTGCCACGCGTCTGAATGTGATGGATGGTGAATCTTCAGGCTGCCAAAATAAATAACTTGCTCGGGTTTGTTAACCCTGACGCTACGCTAGTTACTAGCACTACCAAACCAATCAGCGACAGTTAAATAACTAAATGACTAGTTACTCGTTCCCTCAGGCTTGAGGCTTGTTCATGGTTTCGATTGACAGTCGAGTCGGCGAGCCGGAATACATTACACATTGGGAGTCAATGTGTGTTGCTGGATCGCTGGCTACGCCATGTTAAAAGTAAACACAAGAACAGGAAATGAAATTATCTTCATCTCTCAAAACATGGACAATGTTGAAAGGCAAGAAGAAACGGCCCATGAGTAGTAGATCCTGCTGTCATTCAGAGAGCATGCATGGCCATACAATGTGAAGATGGACAAAGCAGCTAGCTATTCTGGCAGGAGGGCCACCATTTTTGAAAATTGCTCAATCCCAGATTTTGTCGAAGTATCTCAACCCATCGACATCATCCAGCAACCTTCAATCAGGATATATTTTGCAACAACGCATTCCAGATTTCCCAACGCTTATGATCCCCCTTTGGGTATTCCCTTTTGCGTTCCCAATGGCAATTCATACACCTGCTCCAAGCGAGTGGGAATCTCCATATACACCAAGCACCCTCTGTACATCGTCACATAACCTTTCTGAATGCCGCGAAACCGCTTTCACTTCAGCAGCAGCTGTCGGGTGATTGTCCAGGCAATGGTCTGCTAATGAGTGAAAACTCGGAATTACAAATGTGTTGAAGAATATCTACCAACAGCTTTGAATCTACGCTTTAAGTGGTGTGGTGCTTCTATTCTCTTTCCCGCAAGCGCCAAAGGGTCACCTCGAAAAGGTTGCAGCAAGTAGATCAAGTCAGCAGCCCCAGCTCCTCTTATGTTTGCTAAACCCCCTATTATTCAAAGGTAATAATGCTGTTCGGTCATCTCGGCCTCTGGACGCAGGGTTAAGGTAAGCTGCCGTGAGCGCAAAGGATTATGGGATGTCGAATACCAGGTATAAAACGTCGCTGTCCTCATCCTGTTTTTGCCTCCAAGATTATATATATATATATATATATATATATATATATATATATATAGGTTAGGCCTGGAAGCGAAACAATGGCTTAACAGAAAAGCCTGCACGGTAGGTACAGCGCTCGAGTCAATTGTCAGTCGAATCTATTGAAGCGAAATGGCTGTTGAAAATTGAAATAAAAAAAAGAAAAAAGCCCTGGTCATCTCGGACAATGCGTATGTCGGGGGCAGACTGCTCAAACAGGTCGAGGATGGTAGTAAAACTCTGACACGGGGAGGGAACTTTTTTTTTTTTTTTTTTTGGAGAGGGGGGAGGAAGTTCAAGGAGTCAGGGGCCAAGGGGAGCCAGGAGTCAACAAAGAGATATATATTATGATTGGGCCAGGAAGCGACACCAGCAGGCCCGAGCTTATGTGGTGGGGATGCAAGATGACAATTCCCACATACTCGTAACTGTTGTCTGCATCTGCGTGCTGCAGCTTTCTTCCCTGCATTCCTCATTCCTTCTGGATCCACGGGGGGGGGAAGAGTCATCGCGCATGGGCCTCGTGCTGCAGCCGGGAGGGGATACAGACATACAGACATACAGACATGCAGACATACAGATATACAGCCAGGCGGGGCGTATCCGAGCCGGGTGGGTGGAGATCCAGAGGGAAGAGAACCCATGGGCCAACATCAAAAGGAAAACAGCGCGGGCAGCACGGGGAAAACGTGGGAGGAGGGCGCTTTTCTACTGAAGTTTGTCTTCCAAAAGGTGAGACGGGAATAAGCAATTCTTAGTAGTCCGGTCAAGCATTGTGCAGGAAAAGAGAGCGAACGGACTGAAACCGTGCAGGGGATAACAGCAGTCATTGGATCCATAGAGTCAGTCAGCCAAGGATGTATGTGTGTGTGTGTGTGTGTGTGTCTCCCGGTTGCCAGCTCCCAGTCTCGAGTCTCGAGTCTCGAGTAGCTGAGCTATATCTATCTCTCCTCTCCAAGCTATCTGGCTTGTCCAATAATGTTCAAGTGGGTAATACGCGAGCGAAGGCGCTTGGACAAGAATCGTGGTCATATGAATTTCTTCTTCAAATCAAACTCCAAACCAAACTCCTGAAGAAGAAGAAGAAGAAGAAGAAGACGGGAAATGAAGAAATGAAGAAATGAAGAAATGAAGAAATGAAGAAATCAAGAAATGTTTCTATAGATATGCACGTTAAATAGAAACCTTGGATGTTAAAAAGAAATACTGAGTGAGTGAATAATGTGTATATTCTTGCAGTCAACAGCGGAAGCATGAACTCAATACGCAGTAAGCCGTGATCACATATTCCTGAATGAATGTGATACACACATACAACACACATACAACACACATACAACACACATACAACACACATACAAAATCAGTTGCTTATCATCTTTGTACACACATCCGCCCACGTGGAGGGTGTTTCACATCTGCAATTGGGGGGGGGGGGGGGGGGAGGTTGATCTCCGGTTCGGCAGCAAGAATCAGAATGGACAATTTGGCGATGCAGCAGGGCGGTTGTTCAGTAAAAGTTGCATCTCCAGTCCCAGGTGAATATGAATATGAATATGAATATGAATGCTGGTTGGTTTTGGTTTTGGTTTCCATCTCCCTCCCACGACGCCGCCAAGGAACAGAACGAGAGACCAAATTGGGAAAAAAGGAAAAAAAAAAAAAAAAAAAAAAAAAAAAAAGATTCCATCATTCCTCCCCCTCTTCTGCCTCCACTCCGCCACCACAAACCACCGACAAGACTTTGGAATGTGGGATCAACCGATTAGATAAGAAGATGTCGAAGGGGGCAAAGAGGGAGGAAGGGAAGGGAGCAAGGAGGGATGGACGGACGAGGGAAGGAAGGAGAGGAGGTTGAGATAAACTCGGCGCGAGGTTAGAGAACGTGCTGAAGGGCGCCGCGGTGATTGGCGGGAAACCACCACGCAGGGCCAGCCCGTGGTTTCCCCCCACTAGTTAGTTAGTTATTCGTTACCTTACTCGGCCCCAGTGGCTCGTTCGGTGCTAGTCTGGTCTAGTCTAGTAACTAACTAGTTAAGTTAACTTAGTTAATAATAATAATAGTCATAATAGTCTGGCATTGGATGCTTGGATAAGCGATAAGAAGCTTGCTGGCTTTGGTTCAAGCCTGGTTGCGCCATTCCCTTGGCTCGAATTAGGGCTAATTGCCTCTTTGGGACACCTCTGACGGGAGTCCAGGAAGAACGAAATCCAGCGAAATCCAGCGAAATCCAGAACTATGGAGTGCTAAGTTTGGGGGAAGGAAGATCATAGATTCTGCTTTTTCTGACTTTTTCTGAAGGGGGGGGGTGGTTTGTTAGAAGAGGGTTGGTTGTTTGTCTAGCATGTTGCCGAGTGGTTGGCTGTCAGCTGCCGACAATTCTTCTTCCCCCTTCATGTCTTTTTTCTTTTTTTTTTTCTTTCCCATCTATGGTGACACTCGCTGCTTGGGTTTGCCAGGGCTGACAGAGCCATAGTTACATCTTGCGCCGTGGGAAGGGTACCAACGAATCCTATATCTATATATCTATCTCTATATCTCTCCTCCTCCTCCTCCTCCTCCTCCTCCTCCTCCCTCTTCCTTTTTTCCATCTCAACCTCAATCTCAACTTTACATCACATCACATCACCCACCGCAATTCCCCTTCCCTCCACTCCCCTCTCTTCCCCTCGCTTTCGTCTAGCTTAGGGCTAATCCTGCCAAGCTGGGCCGTGCTCTTTTCTATCTCCTCCCCCCCGTCTGGGTTACTTACTTGACTGATCGAGTAACTTTGATATAAATAGAAAATAAAAAATATAAAAATAAAAAAGAGGACTGCTCCCTCCCCCAACCAACCCTAGCCATGCCCGTCCTCACTCAGTATGACTGGATTCTCGCGATCATCTCTATCGCTTTCTGCGGCTCCTCCTTTGGAAACGGTGCCAACGATGTTGCCAATTCCTACGCGACCTCCGTCGCTGCAAGAACCCTCACCATGCCTCAGGTCGGTTTCCTCTCCATGATCACGGAGTTCGTCGGTGCCGTGGCCTTGGGTTCCCGTGTCACCAAAACCATCAAGAGCGGTATCATCGATATCAACCGGTTCAAGCCAAATCCCGGCACCATGATGCTTGCCATGGGCTGCGCTGAAGTTGGCTCTGCTACCTGGTTGCTCGTCGCCACCAGACTCGGTTTCCCCGTCTCAACTACCCAGACCGTTGTCGGTGCCCTTGTCGGCGTTGGTATCGCTTCCCAGGCCAGCGTCAAATGGGCCTGGGACAGCGGCAGTGTTTCTCAGATCGCTGCCTCTTGGGCCATTGCTCCCGCCATTGCCGCCGCTTTCTCTGCCATCATCTTCGGCACCATCAAGTACTCCGTCCTCGAACGCCGGGATCCATTGAAGTGGGCCATGCGTATGATTCCCTACTATCTCGCCTTCACTGCCGCCATTCTTGCTCTTTTCATCATCGTCGAGCTGCCCGGTGGCAAGTCCTATGAGGAGTTTGGTGTCGGGAGGATGTGCGGCATTGTCCTCGGGGTCTTCTTCGGTTGCCTGGCTATCGCCTACGGTTTCTTCATCCCTTACTTCCACCGCCGCCTTGTTGTTGGAGATGCCCGCATCAAGTTCTACCATATTCCCCTGGGCCCAACCCTCTGGCGCGATGATCCTTGGCTCTATTTCCCTGGCGCGGCTGATGGTGAGGTCGTCATTGACTATTACAAGAGCGCCCACACCGCTGCTCCATCCGCCAACAATAATAACAAAAACGACGCTTCCGACCCAGATGCCATCAAGCCCGCCTCCAATGACAAGGGGTCAGACTCTCCCGACCCGTCTACCCTCGAGAAGGGCCTTGAGCATAACACTGCCGCTCTCCAGAGCAAGCAATTCCTCGAACCGGAAGAGCGCTGGCTCGCACCAACAAGACACCTCCCTGTCTACAGCCCAACACGCCTCTGGTCCTGGGTCAAATATTTCTTCCTCCAGGGCGTCTCCCGTGACTGCGTCTCCCACTCCTCCGAGCTCCTTGCTGCAACCCACGCCCGCGCCAAGCGCTACGATAACAGAGTCGAACATCTCTGGACATATGCCCAGGTTGCCAGTGCCATGATCATGTCCATCGCTCACGGTTCTAACGATGTTGCCAACGCGGTCGGCCCCTGGGTCGGTGCCTACGACACCTACATCACCGGCGTGGTCTCGAAAGAAACCAACACCCCGGTCTGGATCCTGATCGTCGCCGGTTTCCTCCTCGGCGCCGGATTCTGGTTCTTCGGTTATCACATCATCCGCGCCCTGGGTAACAAGATCACCCAGTTGTCCCCTACTCGTGGTTTCTCCATGGAGCTTGGTGCTGCCGTCACTGTTCTGATGGCCTCTCGTCTTGGTCTTCCCGTCAGTACCACCCAGTGTCTCACGGGTGCCACTATGGGTACCGCTCTGATGAATTATGATCTCGGTGCCGTCAACTGGAGACAGCTAGGATATATTGTGTGCGGATGGATCATGACTCTCCCGACCGCTGGGTTGATATCCGGTCTGTTGATGGTGATGGCTCTCAATACCCCTCACCTGTAGACGTTTTTAGAATGATATGTTTGTTTATAAATGCATTTTGTCAGCGGGTTCTTTTTTCTTTATTTTTTTTTCAGCGTCTTAATTCTCATTTGTTGATTTCTTTTCTTTTATCTCCGTCTTCCTTATTTCTCCCTCTCTTGATAGCATATATATATATATATATATATATGTTTCTCAACATCGCTTGACTTCCGTGCCTCCCTCGACGTTACCCACTTCAACGCATCTTCTTAGGACGTAGATTTATCTTTCACCAACATGCCCCCTTTCTCTCTCACGCGCATCAACCCTTCCTACCTACCTACCTCACTCAACTACCACACTTCCTCGATCCCATCTAGTCGCTTCTCTCTCTCTCTCTCTCTCTCTCTCTCTCTCTCTCTCTCTCTCTCTCTCTCTCTCTCTCTCTCTCTCTCTCTCTCTCTCTCTCTCCCCCCCTCTCTCTATCTCTCTCCATTCACCCATTTCTCCTTCCCCTACCTTGATACCCAACTTCCGTTAAAATATCACAAAAAAAAACGAGCCAACACACTTACATTCATGCCGCAAATATTTCATCAATAAAACTTATCCTGTTTCCAAATAGCATCTGCTTTCGTTTCCAAGCAACTTCGGAATAAAGCGCTGTCGTGACTTGAATGTTCGTATCTTACTCTGCTATTGCTGCCTAGCTTAAGTTAAGTTTACAAAAGGTGGGGTTAAGAAAATGTTGCACCAACCCAAGCCACAACATCCGCCTCCTTCTCCCTTATTAATATTGCAAGTTAACTTAACTTAGGTTAATTTGGAGTGGCTTTTTGTCGCATAGACAAAAAACTCTTAAACCAATCGCGTCTCCAGGCACGCCTAGTGAGAGTGAGTATAGCTATATGTGATCTACCTACGAAAGATCGAATCTTTGCTAACTACTTTGAATTGAACTCTCGAGAACTGACTTTTGTTGTTCTGTCTTGGTATTCTGGAGATAATGGACGAACAATGGTGCCAAGCCGTTCTGTGCCATTCTGCTTGGCTTGGTTGGTTGTGGCTTGGTCATCGTGCGTGCATCATTGCTTTAATCTGAGTCTTCCTCAAAGTCGTGAAGTTATTTCTTAGATGTAGATGTAATTTGAAAGGGTTGTTTCTTGTCTAATATTTCACATCATGAATATGGTGTGACCAATTACCAATACAATGCGTAAATAAGAATATATATATATATATCGTAACTATATTTATCTTGGAGCCGTTCTTCGCGACCGAGGCATAATTAACTCATTAACCCGTGCTGAATTTTTCTCCCTAGAACTACAAGTTATATAAACGGACGCCTTGTCCTCCGTCACCAATACTAGATTCAGAGAAACGATATTGCAGACGGTCACTTACTGCCAATGGTATAATATATAATATAACTGGAACAGATTACGCAATTTTCTAATCAAATGGACGGATTTTACCCCCTACATAAATGATACATCCCCTCTAGTAGCCCGGTAGTGCCACGACTACCGTCATCATGACGGATGGTGAAAATATCCACACTTCTACATCCCTTCACACTCTCTTCCTCAGAAAAGCCACACCACCGCAAGGATCCGGCTCAGCACCGATGGGATCTTCGCCTCATACAGGGTTGTTATCTTGTTAGCTGTATCACCCACACACAAGTTTTTCTCACCGTCCCCTTCAAACCATCAGTGGCAAATCTATGCCGGCATATCCATTCACTCCAAGTGACTGACTATCCATGGTGATATCAATAACCCTCAATATCCCGTTTTGTGTGGCGCGGTCGAAGATCGACCTCGCTGTGTCAGACATCATCTCATCTGTAAGACTCCACCGCGAACGCACGGCAGGGAACAGGGCGCGCGCGTTATCCCACTTGAAACAAAGGGAAAGAATGGTTTTGAGGATTGATAATTCCAAACTGTAGGAGGGAGGAGGGGCGCGCGCCTTGAAACACTCTGGTCCGCAGAGGCTGCCTCTTCTCCTGGTTTGGGTGATGTTGGATGATATGATCATTCAACAGGTAGGGAGCGATATTCCCCCCGTTCAAATTGATGAACTAGCTCTTTTGCATATGTAGAGTGTTAGCAACGCGTGGTTATTATTATTGAGCGTGGTTGAGATGATATATGGAGCAATCTCGGTTTCGCGGAATACTGCATCTTTGTTTCTCTCTGCGCGTTGGTGAAACGTGAACCTGTACAAGAACCAATTCAGCTGACCTTGATTTTTTTTGGCTATTCAACCCCCAATGGGATGGTCTTGTCTTCACTGGTAGTGGGTTAGTTACTCAATTCGCGCTTTGTGAGTGGGCTCGCTGAGTTTGTCTTTATTATTGTTGTTCTCTTTACTTATTCCGTTACAAGAAAATGCAGAGAAAGTCGTAGAAGAATATCACGTGATCTGGGACAATGCCAAGCTGTGAGCTCTATCCAACCTCTCGTTTCTTGAGCTCAACAATTTATGACCAGAAACCACTCAGTTCCTAAGGATTCTTCTGCTTTTCTCCTATAACAAAAGAAGCCCAAATAACCGCGTCTCCTCCGAATCCAATCTCCACTCTACAACCGTCAGATCCAACCATGCCCCGTGCCGTAAAAGGTATGTATGCTAGGTTAAATGGCACCAGCCATAAATGTATCAATCTCAACTAATATCTTCCTGTGTCCATAGGTGTCCTAATAGAGTGCGACCCATCCGTAAAGGCCATAATCCTCAAATACGACCAGGAGCGGCACGATTACATCGTCGAGGACCTTGATGACGAGCGCCATCTGGTGATTAAAGAAAGCCAGTTGCAGCACTTGAAAGCGCGCCTGAGTAACGTGTGTTCTACATTTCTACATTTCTACGACCCATTTTTTATATCTGTTGAAGTTCCATCTTTGCTAAAATATTCCGCGTTTAAACTCGTAGGAGCTGGATGAGAAGATCATGCAACCGGAGGAGTCCGAGTCGGAGTGAATGTCTTCTTTAGTTTGACAGGAGCAATTCGATTGGGGTAATGATGGATGATCAAGTCATCAACGTGGCGGCAGCTGCCACGAAATTCCGAATTTCTATTCTGCGACAGTCCCTGCACGAAATGTGCGGGGTTGTGAGACCGAAGCTGGATCCTTATTCTGAATTTCAAATGCACTCTTATATTAAAGGCACCGTAGGTGCCAATCAGGGCACAGGGTTACCAGGCAACACTGCCACTGGTGGAATTCCCAGCCGGGTTATCCAGGCTAGCTTCGACTTCACTACACATAGAAAAGCAGCGAGCAAATCCACTCAATCCATCAGTGAGGTTGACTGCAAATTCTTTGGATGCATGTCGGGGGCAATGCGTGCAAGCCGTCGAAAATAATGCGGCCAGAGAGACAAGGACTCTCATGGAATGACTGCCAAAAAGCATAGATTATGGTTGCATTTTCTGTATGTTCGTTTCCATGGAATTCACGACTTTTTTTTTGTCGAGAAAAATCGTTTTCCGCTACGTTGGTGGCAGCTAGATACTCGAGAAGATCTCTCCAGACGTTCGAATATTCCTTACGGTTGCTACTCATGTTGGTAAATACTTATTTATTATTATGAATTCGCTTCAAACAGTACCTTAAATTAAGATAAACCAATTCAGCTTATTTCATACTAACTATCGTTCAAAATTATGAAACTCATTACTTGCTTCTGCGTCCACCTCATGGTCGTTCTTTACGAGCACTGGAGAGCCAACAAAAAAAGAGCCCGGGTGAATAGAAAAGGGAATAGGAGAAATGGAAAAACAATCAACACAACCCGAAACTATCCCCTGCAACAAGTACGCCTAGTTGAACCCGCCTGGGCCGTCAATCGGTCGTATCTGTCTACCCACTGCACTCTTTCTCGTTGATATAGATGCCAATCCCATTCCCCTCGGTATCGCGGCACTGGGTGATAAAGCCATGATCCCCCTCCGGGGTGCGCTCGCCAGTCACAGCCCCACCATTCGCGATGATTGCCTATGATTGAAAGGCTAGTCAGGACACTTGCCTACAAGAAGTGCACACGTATTCGCCATTGTCATGGCATGGCCCATCAAAGCAACTGTCGGAGTTTGTGCTACTGAAACACAAGTCAACGCAAACAAAACATACCTCAGCTGTCTTCTTATCATCCTCAACCATAAAGTACATCTTGAAGGCACTGTCGCCCTTGGTATGCACCTTGGCATCGACGCGCTCAAAGCTACCACACAGGGCTCCTGACTTGGGGTGACTGGGAAAACTGAATATGGCGATATCCTTCTCATTGAGGTTGGCGGGGAGGGGGGGGATGGTCCAATTAAAGACAGCGGTATAGAATGATTTGGCTGCGTGGTAGTGTCAGTGTCTCTTGTCCTTTGGAAGGCTGGGAAATTGGTTGAAGGAACGTCATACCACGGGCAACGTCGATGACGGGGATGTTCACCCAGCATGGGGCGCCGAAGGGGGGAGGAGTCCACTCGCCAGACATGATGTATTGGGAGCTGGGGTTAGGTACCGTGCTTTGGGGTTCGAAGAAGGTTGAAAGAGGAAGCAATTCTATAAGGCTCTGATTTGAGATGCTGAGGTGAACGAGAATAGGGATCCTATGGACAGAAGGGAGGAATCAGGGTCCTCTTTATACCCCGTCATCCCACCTCATCAACTGGGGTCAACACTTCGTATTCATCCCCCCACCATTTCGCCAGATTTCCTTCCCCGGCCAAATGACATCTCCAAAGTACCAAGACGGGACAATTCCAATCCGCTTTTCCCTCTCCCAACCCGCTCAGGATTGAAACCTGAACTCACAAATTCCAATCCCAACCACCGTAGCGCGCAATGAGTCATAAAAACAAAGTAAAATCATCCTTCAAAGGCTATCATAGCACCATCACCAAAGCAACCAACAAACCTAGCAAAAAAACCTGCAAATCGGGCAGCCACGCGCAGGGAAGCCGACGCGAGAATCCGCAAATTCGCCTGCCATTTTACCGCATGTGGTCTAGCGGATGACGCGGAGGAGACACGAGATCATGTGGTTGGGGGCTTGGCCAAGGTTGTAGGATTGGGGGACTTAGGCAGCAATCTTGGTAGTGGAGTGGTCGTCGGGCGGCGGTGGTCTTGCCGCGTTTTTGCGGAACAGGGAAAATCGGGCTCTTCGGCTTTTGGGGGACACACCGAGCGGTGGGCAGGTATCTCGAATTGATTTATTTGTTTGTAGAGTGATCCTCCTGGCTCTGAGGCGAGCGGAGTGGTTGATTTGACGACAACCAGATATTTCGCACAATGCAACCTTACGTTCATGCGTTGGATAGTTGGGATTAGTTAAAGAATGTTCAAGAAATAGTCCAAAAAACGAATCATATTTCTCTCCTAGCTATGGCAGGACCCAAAATACATCGAGAAGTTAGAAATAATATCAACCGTTCAATAAATTGAACAGTGACACGGGAGGAATCTTCTCGGATTCAATTGCCAGAAATATATACCAAAAACAGATTGAAGTCCAATATTAGGACAGAGAACAGGAGTCGTCCTCGGCAAAGTTTTACATGGCATAAGGCTAATGAAAAGTGCTTGTGCATGGACAAAGCGTTCGTTAAGCCAAAAAGTGTAAAAGGTATAGAACTGACCAAAATTAAAGGAAAAAAAGGTGCATGGAATGTCGAACAAGCGCAAAGGAGGTTGAAACGTCAGATAAAAAAAAAAAAAAAAAAAAAAAACCCCGGTATAAAAGACAGAATGCCATTTGTACAAAAATAAAAATAAAAGTAGTCCAAAAACCCAAACCATCGAGTCTTTCCCGTAATGCGCCATATATATTCCCAGTCCAAGCTTCTGCGATCATTACGCCCCATCAATCGTAAGTCGTCCCGGAATCTTCATCGAAATGATTTCGATATGAAGCAAGTCCAGAACGCAGGGTGGTGCGAGGAGCAGTGTGTGTCCATACAAAAGAAGTATTTATGTAAAATATTTGTTTCGTATCGTCTTCACAGAAAAGAACAAAAACATTATTGAGTTTTTTTGTTTTTTTTTTCCCCTCCTTCAACTTTTCAGGGCTTAACCTCATTCTTGTCGTCGAAGGGACTCATACTTCTCTGGAGTGAGTTTTCAGAATCCGGTTTACTGTGTGGTTCTTGCAACTGATTGGAACTCTGACTGGAATTGTTTTCGTCAGGGGTAGACTTTTCGCTCTGATCCGGTTTAGTGGTGGGCGACTTAGACTGGTCCGGCGAAGCGTGAGAATCATCAAAGGGGCTCTGTTTGATAGACGGTGAATCCTCAATGACAGTGACAGCGACAGACTGGTTGGACTGACGCTTATTAGGATGGTCACCTGGTAATTCCGCGACCCTAGAGGGGTTAGGAATTGCTGTGGACAGATCTCCGGGTAACTCAGCAATCCTAGCGGGTTCATTTCTCACGGACGATGCTTGCGAGACGGTGATCATAGGATTGGACGACTCATCGGTTTCGGAAATGGTGCTGGTTTTGGACCGAGGCGATCTAGGTGACCGAGGTGATAGAGGGGATTTGGTCAGGTTGACAGGGCGTGCAACCATGGAGCGGGCGACGATGGAACCGGCAAACTTCCTCTCGTTGGCGGCCTTATCATTCTTCTTTTCCATTTTGGCGCCCACGGCGTTGGCCTTGTCGATTTGGGAAGCAGTAATAGGGGGGACGACAGGAGTCGAGGAAGGAGGGCTTTCGCTGGGAGTGATACATCCAGATTTGACACTGACGACTGCAGCTTTGGCGCGGAGGGCTTGCTGAGCAGGGACGGGGCTGACGATGGCATCATGGCGGTAGAGGGTGGTAGCCACGCTGCTGCGAGCGAGACTGGGACTCATACTCTTACGATCATCCTCTGTCATTTGAGACCACACGGAATCACGGATATCGCCAGGCATGAAAAAGTGCTGGTCCTGACCGTATGTGCTTCCATTGGCTGTGGGGAGTGGAGGAACTGGAGGGACAAGTAGACCTGGGGTGTCTGGTGGGGAGCGGTTGGTGACGCCTGGTATATAGGCGATCTGGATGACATTTGATGCTCTGGTGAGAACAGTCGACGCGATCGAGCCAACGGTGGATTGCCGTGTGACACGGCTGCCTGCCAATGATTCTTGTTTCTCATACGACTCGGACTCCCACTGCTGGTTAGCTGCACGGTTCGCACGCTTCTTCCGGAAGTAAAAATAGGCCAGAACAAGAACGGCTAACACAGCCAGACCACCAATAACTCCACCAGCGATGGCACCAATATTCGAAGAGGCGGGCTCATCAGGGGCAGCCACTCCACCCACCTCCCCGAGACTGATGCAGACGGTTTTCTGGCAGGCCTGACAGGATTGGCTTATCAAAGAACAGGTTTCTCCCTCTGGGCACTTAGGGCAAGGCGGAGGTTTAGCCGGGCAATTGACGACACATCGACGGAATAGAGTATTGAGAGAGCGACCGTATACTAGAGCAACGAAATTAGTACTTTTGAAAGCAGAACAATATCAATATGGAGTGAAGGTAGTAATGATTGCTTACTAAGGTCTGTTTGAGCAGCAGCCATGGTGGTGAGGGATAAGAGTATGCTATTTTTCTCTTTTTCTTTTTTCTTTTTTTTCTTTTTTTTTTTTTTTTTTTTGTGAGTACTAAAATGCAACAAGCAAGATTGCAAAACCAAGATCAGGAGTTAAAGGCAATCGTCAAATCCCCTAGCAGCACATTTGAAATATGTCGATTGGTCCTTTGGTTGGTTGGTGCAGGGCCGGCGCCGATCAACGGCGGCAAGGTAAAAACGAGAAGGGGGAAAAGGCAAAACACAACAAACGAGCGACTGGGTGAAGATAAAAGAAGCAGAGGATCAAGATATAAAACGAGTGTGGGTATGCAGCAGCCGGGCCAGAGAGAGGATATTTTCAGCACAGGGACGGATTAGGCGTCGAGGGGAACAGCCGCAGTCATTCTGGGTAGTAGATTCGTCGAGACAAGAGCGGTATACGGGAATATTCGGGGAGCGTTTCCCAGGACGACAGTATGTATGTATGGATGATGCAGGCGAGGGGAGGGCGTGCGTGCAAGAGCAAGAGCAAGACGAAGAGGATTGAAAGGGGGTTGATGATAATGGAGGTTGAGATAGGAAAAATAAGAATAGGAGAAGGTGAGAAGAAGAAGAGGGTTGAGAAGAGGGAAACAGAACAGACAAACAAACGGGGCTGCAGCGGCTTTGGAAGTTGGGGCTGGGCTTGGCTCGGGGCTACGGGAACCACACACAACACACACCACACCAACAACCAACGCTACTGCTAACAAGTAGTAATAATAAATATTAATAATAGTAGACTAAGTACTCCGTAGCTAGTAACTAGTAAGTAACAAGGGAGACAAGACAGGGCCCAGGCCAGCCCACAAGGAGGAGAGAAAAAGGAGACGTTTTCGGTGGTTCAACCCTACCAGCGAGCTGAGCTGCCAGGGACCTGACCGTTTGAGTGACCTATTCCTTGCGCGTGTTTTATATGGCGGCCAAATGTAACTCCATAGTCAAAACCCCGCTAAGTTGCCAAGGGCGGGCTGAGCTTACAGTTGCTACTGCCACGCCCCGAGGTCTCCACAATGCCCCTTTTGCCTGTCTACGCTGTAAGTTGTCTCTCCCCATCTTGCCTGTGCTTACGCAGTACGTACCTACTACTACTTAGTACCTACGCTGTACTCCGTATACATGAGCTAATTCTGTGGCATTAAGGATCCAGCCGTGCCTGTTCTAAATTAATCTGTAATCTGTTGCTGGTGGAAATTGAGGCTCCACTCGGTCAGCCAATCATCGGCCGTATATGGCCCATCCGTCGCCCCACTCAGATTCCCTAATCCGGCTAGTGCTACCGCTTGCGTTGTGGTTCGCGCTTGTCTTTCCACTTGCCTGATTACATACAGACTTTTTACTAATTAGTGTGGCTAAGACCTGATGAGATGGAATGTTTCTTCTTCTTTGTTGTCCCATCTTGATTTCTCTCATCTGAAGGCTATGAAGCGGCCACGACGTGTAGCAAGGTATGTTGGATGAAGTACAGAAGTCCCCGCTCCCATACTCCGTACAGACTGTCTATGCTTCGTAAAACTGTCAGGTTGTTTTCAAGAGACAGACACATGTCAGTCAGCTCTACGGAGTAGATCCTGACTCGCAGAAGTGGTGACCGAAACGAAAATGCAGAGCAGATCATGCATGTCATGCCTTATTATTATTATTTAATATTATGTATGTTATGTACTCCGTACATGTGTAACATACAACAACATACATTACATGTGCTGCATAGCCCTACCGGGAAATCACCGTTTTGCAATATTCTTCTTCGAGAACCCCTTTCCGTTCAATCATAGGTTTTCCAAACAACAATAAATGATAATAATAGCGGTCTGCTCTTCTTCACTACTTGGCTCCTTGCTTTTCCCTGCCAAATTGCTGCGGCCACGGCTGCCACATGGCACCTCTCACTTGAGACTTGCAGAGTAAACATGATTGGAGAGGAGAGGGGGATAGCGAAAATCGGCAACACCGCCCGCTTCGTTGCAAGTAATATCAGATGTTGAACTCTTCACAACTATGTACTATCATTATTATTATTGACCCTTGCCAGCTCGCATTTCCTTGTCCGGAGAATTGTATTCCTTTGACTCCATAGTTCAATTTCAATTCCCTGACTGACTTGCTTTTTCAATAGTGCGGAATTGGTGTTGCTAGCTAGGGCTGACTGGTGCCTCTGTGCCCCGGTGGCCGAATGGTTAATGCGGCCACCTGGTAGCGCCTTGGCATGGGAAACCAAGGCGTGTGGGTTCCAAACCCGCAGGGGATACATTAAATCCGGAACTCAAGCACCTCAGGTTCCTAATAAATACAGAGGTGTACAAATCGCTCCAATAAATCGCTCTATGTTCCTGGGCTGGGAAGTTATTATCGCATGTATCTAATTGTCACTCCTTTGTATTTCCTATGTTCTTGTTATCTTGGCGTGGTCTCAACACCTGTATTTCCTCCTGTATAACCAACACTTGGCCTGTATTTAACATCACGCAAGGACTCATCATAAGCTCCGCTTGCATATGAGTATAATGGAAGAATAATAATAATAATAATAATAATAACTGGTGCCTCTGTAGTTATATCCGGCTTTTTTTTTTTTTTTTTTTTTTTTTTTTTTTTTAATCCACGGTTTGCTTCTATAACTAACTACCCGCGCCGACTATTTGATTAACGGCCGCCCTGAGATCTCCCGACAAGTCTAGAATTCATGCTATTTTATATCTCGGAGATATCTAGGCGTACGGATAGGCGACTCGTATTATTTATTTATTTATCTCTCTATATATTAAAGAAAAACCAACTTTTCCATGCAAAAAACACTGTAACATGACCTCATATGTCATCACATGCACCTTATCAAATTTATGATTGAGATTAACAGCTGGCTCTGCAGCCTGTACAACTCTGATAGATAATCTTCATTCTTTTCTTTACAGATGTTCTCTACTGTATTTACATTCTTTATACTCTTATCTATGTTCATTACAACCTGTATATTCATTAATATACTCTTTCATGCACTGCTGCTTGATATGTGAGAATTCTTATTCTCTCAGCATGTTTGAATATTCTTAATTCAATGCATTATTTCATACATGCTCTACATGTTATCAAGCTCAGTATTATGCATATCAGACACATTCAGTTCAAATCTCTCACTTATTATTAAGAGATGTAGCTGCTTCTGTACTTAACTCACAGTGAGTTGAGCTATCACACTGTGATATATACTGTGAAGACTGTTCATCTTATCTGTTCTATACTGTTAATCACATGTTCAAGAACTGTAATAACTGCTGAACTCTTAATTATAAACATATCTATGATGCTAAATATTATCATCTGACAGCTGCTGCAGTAGTTAATACAGACTATATATATAGAGATTTATCAGAACAGCTGTTTCTTAACATTCTTAATAATTAAATCAGCTTAACTATCTCTGAATCAGCTGTTAATTCTTTAATTACTTATAATTACTGATCTATTCTCTGCAGCTTTCAGTTCTACATTTATCACTATTAATTACTTAATTTTAACTGAATAAATATCTACTACTCTGTCTGCAGAGCTAAGTATTAAATTAATGAATATATATACAGATTATTAAAAACTCTATCAATGTTTTTTATATACTATATAAGAGATACTGTAAGACTATTATCTGTTAAAGAACTTATATAAGAGCTATATAAGCTATTTAATAATAATATAGCTGATATAAAGTATTTTTATAAGTATATTCAGAACTATAACTCTGTTCTAATATTTCTATTTATTAAATATAAACAGAATTTATATCTGAGTTATCTGACTACTAGCAGCTCAGTATTATTTTAAATACAGAGAAAACTCTATTATTTATAAGAGTTATTAAAGTCTGATCTAGATAAGAATATCTATTTTATATAAATATAAATTTATAATTTATAGTTTAATACAGATATTTTAAATAGTGCAGACTCTGTTATATATTCTAGTATATTTAATTATATTTATATTATATTACTTACTATTTATTTATTTACTTTTTTATATTGTTCTATTATATTATTATAACTGCTAATATTTTTAAAATTAATTCTTTTATTCAGCTTTATTAGTCTATATAAAAGATACTATAAAATAGCTTTATTATATATATTAGTTTAAACTCTGTTTTACAGCTAAAAATAGATAATAATTACTACTATAAAAATCTATCTACTGTCTCTGAGATTATAGTTATTATATAGAATACTCTTAGCAGTATTTATTATCTTTATATTATTCTTTTAATACTATAACAGCTCAGTACTCACTTAAGTCTTATATATATTAATTCTTACAGTCTGTTATATCTTTTACTATATTATATTCTACTTTTTTCTTTCAGAGATCACAGCTGATATATTAATATAAATATACTTATAGATCTCTCATCTGTCTATAATAACTCTGATAATAATAATAATAATAATAATAATAATAGTATTATTATTATTCTTCAATTATAGATGTATATAGTCAGAGACTATGACATTTATCTGAGAATCTTTAGTTCTCAGAGTTTTTCCTATATCTATAGAGTCAACTATTATACATTTATCAATTTCAGATATGTAAAATCAGAAAATTTCAGCTCAGAATATAAAAACTGTTTATAAATTACAGTATTTCAACATCTTCTGATACTTTGAAATCATTTGAAAATATCATGACAAAGAAAAAGAGAACATAGTCTTAAAGATAGACACATTAAATAGATAGATAGAAAAGAAAAGAACAGAAAGAAATAAGTATAATAAAGAGAGACTATAATAAAATAAAATTATTAAAAGATAGTATATAGCTGTTTTAACAGACTATATCTAATTAATTTTCATCTCTTCATATTCAGATACTTCTGAATTCAGTTATTTTCTTATAGCTGCTTGAGTTTCTGATAGAGAGTCTATTAAGTATTTAATTTCTGTCTCAGTTGAGAATAAGAATCTTATATTTAATTGATTTAAATCATACTTCTTTTTTAATCTGACTCTGAGACTATTGTATAATGCATAATATATTATAATATACTCAGAATTTTCATTTGCATTGCAGAATGAGTACTCTGTTAAATCAAATCTATTATTAAATCTTTGTATATAGAATTTGAAATAATCATGATCTAGTTTCAGCTGAATTATAGATGAGAATATTTTCTTTTTACATTTAATTAAACAAGATTTTCACTTTAATTTTATCTCAAATCTTGAATAATATATGCTTTTCTTTTGTTTCTGTCAGCTTTCATTTCACTTATTTAAATAACATTCTTTTATCTTTCTCTTTATGAAAGATCAGAATACTGTTTTTTAAATAGATCTGCTTAATTCTGAATTCTTTTTTACAGCTGAATCAGTCAATTCATTGTCATGAATATTTATATAAGCAGGAACTTAGACTGACCGTGTGACCGTGTCTGAGACCAGGATCAAACTTTACAGTTGTCACGTTGTCTAAAAGTATTACTTCTGATCATGATTTGTATTTATTACATTGATCTCAAATCATGTTATTTCAAATATTAAAGGTCTCAGATTCACTTTTCAAATAAAAATCTAGTTCTGAATAAAGAATATGTTTGAATTCTTAGTCACATTTTCATTCTGATCTCATTATTGAGAATGGCATCAAATGAAATCATGAAATCACTTCTCACTTACATAATATCATAACATAGTGCTCATTTGTTGAAAATTCAACAGAGAGTGTTATTAAATATTGTTACTTTTCTGAATACAGATCATAATTCATATAATTTTAATTATGAAAAAAACATAAAATACAAAAAAAAACAAAAAATAAAAAACAAAACAAACACAAGAAAAAATCACATTAAAAAAAAAAAAAAGAAAAGAAAAAGAAAAAAATAAAAAATAAAAATAAAAAAAATCAAGATCACAGAGTCACAGCACTCTTAAAATACTCACTTCTCAGAGTCTTTACAATATTTATTATCAACTGTGTATCTCTTACAGTGAGGGTAACACAGCTGTAATGAGTTATTGTCTTAACATCATCTAATAAATAATCAGTATATATCTGTATAAATGTGAATAATTAGAAAACATACACTCAAAAAGTGTGATCAGAGTGAACTCTGCTGCTACTTGAATAGTATCAAGAGCAGAATGCTGAAATCAATGATTTCTCTCATTGATTTCATGAACAAGATGTGTGAAGATGATCTTGAGAAATATAAGATTCTCTGACTTCTGATAAAAATGAATCTCACAGAGAGACTCTATTTTCATGATATCAGAGACTGAGTGTTATCAAAAAGTATTACTTTCATACAATGTATATGCACTTACTGCAGTGATTCACTCTCTGTGCATGTGACTGAGAGTTGCAGCTTTTTCATGCTGCACAGCTCTTTCTGAGATGCTGCTGTCAGTTTACAATTCACACAGTCTTTCAGTTCAGTACATGCTGTGTATATACAGTTCTGCATGCTGAGGCTGTGTTAGTCATTATGACCTGGCATGATACTTGCTTTTCATAAGTCATGTTTTGTTTGAAGAGGGGAGAAAAGACATGACTGTTGTTTTATTGAGAAGGAAATGAATAATTAGTATTGTTGAATTATTTTGATTTATCTGTATTTAAAATTTGATTAGTTTATACTCTTCAATTTGAGGATTTCTATAAGTGTTTTAATAGTTTTCATATCAGCTTGAACTTAGTGATGAGTTGAAGAAGAAGAGAAAAGAGAGAAGAAAGAAATGAGAATAACTTATCTTTATAATATGAAAACAGAGAATTACTGCAATCATTCTCTCTAGCAATAAAGATCTGTTTTCTGTATGTATCTCTGATATAGATTATATGATAAATGCATATAAAGAATATCAATAGTGCATGTATTGAATGAAGATAATGTTGCTATACAACACTGTAGCTGTTTCTGTACATCTCTGAAAGCTGTTAATAGTTTCTTTGTCTCTTTATGTTTGATAAGTTAATAATATATTCCGATGCACTTTCTCTTTCATCATCATTATTATTATCATCATCATTATCATCATCACTATCATTATCATCATCATCATTATTATCATCATCATCATTATCATCATCATCATCATCATCATTATCATCATTATTATCATTATTATCATCATTATCATATCATTGTCTGTCTTCACCTCTTCTCAATGCTTATTAAAATCAATCATGTCATTTCTCTTCAAATATTCTGCAGTCCTGCGGACCACCAAGGCGCGTGAGCACTGTCACAGATTGAAGGAAGAGAAGAAGAAGGTATTCAAGTGCAGAGAGACAGATTGTAAGACATGTTATAATGCCTTGAAGAGGCTCTGTAAGAAAGCAGAATGATAATGATTTTAAGTAACACTTCTGATAGATTTAGACTGAACTAAGTATAGAAATAATACAGATGACACTGTCTGTGAGAGATTGAAAAAGAAGACAGTGAAGAGCCTCATGCAGTAGCAGTGAGACCAGAAGAAGTTCTGAGAATGATTTGAGATCAAGATGAAGAGAGAGAGAGAGAAGAAGAGTGTTACTGTAAATAAGTGATGATAAAAGAAGATTGAGAAGATATTGAAGTGAGAGACAAAGAAGCCAAAACTGGTAAGTTTTTATTAAGAGATAATGATTTTTGATAATACTTCTGTTCTCTAATTGATTAGCAGGAGCTGACAGAGAAGAAGGAAATTAGGGTCTTGTTCAGGTCTCAAATGCACTTCATGATCCAGGACATTGAGAAGACAGCCCTGCTCTCTGAGTATGTCAATCTGCTTGCTGCTGAGATGGAATCTGAGACAGCAGACCAGAAAATATGGGATTTTAAGGCACAGGTTGATCTGGCTGAGAGGGAGCAGTGAGAACTCTTCTCTGAAAAGACAGCAGAGAGAGATTTTGAGATGATTATCATCTCAGATGAGAAGAAGGAGAAGAAGAAGAAGAAGAAGAAGAAGAAGAATGAGAAATGAATTATGAAGAATGATAAGAAGAATGAGAAAGAGAAGAAGTAGATTTTTTTCTTTTTATATTAGTTAGTTGTAAGTTTAAGTTTTTAATTATTAATAATTAAAATTGATTTTGAGTTTTCAAAAATTATTGTACAAGTTGTAATCAAGTCAGAAATGATATATATATATATATATATTTAACTATCATGATTCACAAATCACTATAATGTATAAGTATCAACATTTTTTCAATATTGATATTCACAATATTAATATATTTTTAATGATATTATCTGATAATGCAATTTGATAATACTCTCTTTCATAATATTAATATATTTCAAGAAATATGACAGAGATTAATCAAGATTGTTTGTTTACTTTTATATATCAATGATATTCAATCTGAGTTAGTACTAAAATTATAACTAAGCTAAGAAACAAGATTATTTTCTCTTATATTAATTCTTCTTACACATATCAGTGATCAGTTATTAAAAATAAATTATCATCTTTCTCAAATTATTATCATATCTTCTGAATTCACTTCTTTCACTTCTTTTACTTCTATTAAAGATTTACAAACTCTTCAAGAAATCACTGTGAATCACAAAGTCTATGTTGTTTACAATTCAACACAGAATGCTCTCTTTCAATCATGATGAATAACTACTTCATTCTTCATATCTGATTTCAGGTCATGAAATTTATGAAAAACTCAACACAAACATTGAGATGAACTATGAAATAATTATCAACAGATTGTATTATAGATTACTGAAGAGTCATCTCTTTACTGTAATCACTGCAACTTCATTCAGAAACATTCATCATAAACTGATCATGACTCTGGAGAAATTTTCTGACATCTGAAGTTATCAGAATGCAGACAATAAAAGAAAAATAATCAGAAAATTACTACTGAGCTGATAAGTTACTCTATCAGATAATAATTTTTGATAATACTAACTTTCTAATTTGAAGAAAATTATGTGAAAATAATCTTGTATCAGTACTCTGATTTCACAACTCTCATCTGATAACTTCTGTAAATAATTACTTTGTATATGTATATCTCTGAATCTTTCTCTTTGATCAATTGAAAACCCTGAATTCTGAACACTTCTTCAAATGCTTAATTTAAATCTTCATATTTCACATTGATTCTGTCTTCAGTCCAACCTTGAGATACACTACAAAGTCAATATATAATATCTAGAATCAGAGTTGAAGAATCATTGAAGAGTGTCTCTCACAGTGAATGTGTGAACTAGTACAAACAATCTTGCATTTATGAAAGTTACATGTTATTATATTGATGAGAACTGAACTTATTGAGAAACATTAATTAAATTTGAATCATTGATCAGTAGTCATACTGAGAATTATATGACAGAGATATTAATGACTGTGATTAAAAATGACTATTGAGATATTAGTCTCAGTCTTCTTACAATTACAACTGATAATGCTGTGAATAATTACACTATAATGAAGAGCTTGAAGCAAAAATTGACTTTGCATTTCTGAAATAATAAACAAGATCATATTCTCTGCATTGCTCATGTGATTCAACTTATGATACAAACACTGATAAAGAATCTTAACATTGAGATAAAGAATAATGAGATGGCTGATTCTTGAGATGAGAATGAGATGAAAGTGATTACTCAAGTAACTTTTACATCTACTTTGTAAAAGATAATGTTTTTTAATAACACTTTTTGATATTGCTTTTTAATAATACTTTTTAATAATACTACTGTTAATTTTGAATAGATTGACTAATAATTTAAATATCATAGATTTGAAACATTGCTAATGCAATTTGTATCTCTTCTAAACAATAACAATGATTTCATGATATTCAATAAACAAACAAATCAGTCACATCACTGAATATGATACAGAATGTTAGAACACAGTGAAGTTCAACATATGAGATAACTGTTTAAGCTCTTTGATTATGTCAGATGATTGATCATTGAGTGTAACACTCTGATTGAGAAAAGATTCAGATATTGAAACTTTCTGATATGAAGTAGACTCAGTTGAAATATGTGATTGATTTACTGTTTCAGTTTTATAAGACAATAAAGACAGTCTCAATCACTTGTACATCAATACTGCAGTCAGTCTGATGAGTGTATAACAGTTTATTTACTCATCTTAAGAAGCAGTTGAATCACTCAAAAAGAAATTCAGTCTGAGATAATGCTATAGTGCAGGCTATTGTTGCTGTAAGGGATAAACTGGCATATTACTACAGTAAAATGAAACAATCTTTTACAGAGTACTATGCTGTAGCAGCTCTACTAGATCTCTTCTGTTGAGTTAATATCTACACTTCTCAAGATTGAACAGAGAAGGAATGAGACTTATATGTCAAATTAGTCTGAGACTACTACAATGCCAACTATCAGAGATTTGAATGAGCAGATGTTTGAGATGTAAAGACAGTGAAATACAATTCTCTAGTAAGTAACAATCTTTGATAATACTTCATATCATATAGAACTATAATACTAACTTTGAAACAGAACTTACATACATTGATTACAACTGAAAATCAGACAAAACTATATGCTTATAAAACTGAATTTGACTGCTATCTTCAAGATGATCTGATAAATTTATACATCAAATCAATTCTAGAGTTATGAAAAATTATTGAGAGTATATATTCAACTGTTGCACTGATGACACATGATATTCTGACAATTTCATTAGCAGGGATGAGAATGAAGTGAAAGTTCAACTCAAGTTGAGATATTTGTCACTATTGCTGGGGACAATTACAAGGAGAAACAATCAAGAAACTCATAATTGTAAAACATGAAATTATCAGACAGTTTAATATCTCTGATCACAGTATATCAGAGAAGTGTAGTTTTCATGAGAAAGTGAAGAATAAACTTGCATAAGAATGTATTTAGTTGTTTCATAAGTGTTATCAATAATTGTTACCAAATTCTGATTATATAAGCAATCACTGAATGAACTGAATGAGACTGATTTTAATCTTCAGTTTCAGTCTCATTCTGATTTTGAAAGAATGATCATCTTTCACAGTTTATTCTGGAAAATTACTCTTATTTCACTGTTCTTGAATTAAATCTGGTCATTTTTCATGCCATTTCTCTCAGAAATGGTCCATTTTCAGATTTTTTTGAGGCTTGGTCCTGGTGGGACTCACGCCAAGAAATGTATGAAACCAGATCAAATGAGATCAAATGTGAAATTCATGGTCCCGCCGGCCAGTCTACAGGAACTCAATGCAGATGAATTATCAGTTTTAATATTCTTCTCTTTTGAATTTTCAAAACAGAGTTTAAAATCAGTTCAAGATTCATTTGACTATTATAAATCTGACTATTTCTAAGTCTTTGTAAAGTAGCTTGACTATCAGAGAATATTCATATCTCTTTCAAACTATTTTCTCTTTTATAAGATTTTATTTCAATGAGTTTGAAAGCTTTCACTATTACAAATAGTTCAGCATCAAAGACTTCAGATTCACAGTCTAAATTTCAGAAATCTGAGATAAAATTGATATTATCTTCAGTATAAGCAATGCCTGCTTCTAATCTATTCAAATTCTCATTTTTTGAGTCATCTGAGTAAATCAGAATAGAGTTTTTTATATTGATTATAGAGATCTTCTTCAAATACTGTTCATATTCTCTCTCTTTGAATAGTTCACTTATCTATAAGTCTATGAGAGATTTCAGCTTTTCTCTCAAGAGAGATATCTTCTCATGATCAATTTTCTCAATATTTAATGAAGAAAATTGATTTTTAATAAGTGAACATAGTCTATACAGTTGAGAGAGCATTTTATTTAAAGTATTATTCTTATTTCAATTAAGAAATCTATTTCAATTCAGTGCATTTCCTGAGTTAACTGATGAAAATGAAGAAGAGACTCTTTCTCTGATTATATGATTTAAGCTCATCTTCATGACTCTCAGAGCATAGTTTATACAGGTCTTTTTAAATTGAATAGCAGAAGATGAAATTGAAGCTTCAATTTTCATTACTTTAATAGAAGATGATTTGAATACTCTCAGAATTCTTCTCAAAGCTCTGTTTTATAGACTTTGAAAAAGTTCAGTGAAGTTATCTTAATTATTTCATCAAACTTGAACTTTATAATCAGCTACTGAGATAATACAGACTATGTATAATTATCTCATAGCCTGAAAGAATAGATCTCTCTCAGTATTTGATAGTCTGATTATACTATTCAGTAGTCTCTCTGCCTTGATAATTCTTTGTTGAATATGATATTTAAAATTCAACTTGAAGTTTAATCATACTTCTAGTCATTTAACATTCAAACTGAGTTTAATCTCTTTATTCAAAAGAGTTAGACTTAGTTCTTTCTCATTAAATCTGAGAAAAAAGTGAATTAACTCAGTTTTATTCATATTAAATTGAATTAGATTAATATCTGCTCTAACAAAGATTTTCTTTACTACTTTCTCAATCACTTCTAAATTCTCTTTGATTGTCTTTGAACTGTAGAGTAGATCAATATCATCTACATAACTTGAAGATCTCACTGTTTTCATCTCTCTATTCTTGAATAGATATGCAGTGTATATTGCAAATAAAACAGATGAGATTGAAGATTCTTATGATACTTCTATTTTTATCTCAGTTTTATCTTGTTTTCTTTCATCAAAGAATAGTTATATGATTCTTTTAGATATAAAACAATTAACTCATTTTATTAGAGAAAGTGACAGTTTTAACATCTTTAAAGTTTGAATCATCTTAGACTTTGAAATATGATCAAATGCATCTTTTATATTAATAAAAACTGCAGTTGAGACCAGGTCTTCATGCTTTGCTACATGAATATTATAAATAACTGAAAGAACAGTGTCAATTGCAGAACATTGTTTTCT